TTTTCCCGCCCCCCCCCCCTTTTCCCAAATAAATTCTTTAAAAACTCACTATGGCAGAGTATGGCAACATACAGTATCTATATGTTCGTTGCTTTCTACCTCTCTCCCGCACGGTGGCTGCGGTCCTTCCCATCCTCACAATAATATTTTTTTTAAATAATAATAACCTGTTCACCACGTGTTTCAGGGTAGGTGGAAGAATACACACAGTGAAGGAGGGTGACGGCCTTATAGAGCTGGGGGCCAACTATATCCACGGAACGACTGCCGAAAACTCCGTGTACACTCTGGCACAGAAGCATGGCCTCGTGAGAGAAGGGTTCTTGTCCACAAGGTGAGGACAGCGGTGTTTGTGTAGATCTAGAATAACGGCGCGTTCCCAATGAATCTATTGTACTAGGTACCAGATACTGCGCACTAACTCCACGGGGACTCCCGCCGAATGCAGTCAGATCAATACGCCTCCTTTTGTTTCCAATTAAACTCGTATGATCACCAGCTTTTCTGCATTCTGCTCATCGCCCTTTTATTTGTGTAGTGATTTGTTATATTACTGTTTAAGCCTAGATAAGATTTGAAATGCGATGCCCTACGGTGCACGTAATGCCCCTTTCGTACGGCGTCTGAGCGGAGGTATAGACGGTGGCCGTGCGAAATCGCACGGAATCGTACTGATTTAAGGCCATGTAATGTAGACATACTCAGCGTAGCCCATAGCTCCCTACGATTTCATAAAAAATCGTACGGACAATATTTCATCGCACGGCGCCCGTGTAAATGTAATCTAGGCTTTATGATTGACCATGTTTGTTAAGGTGTGCCGTATATCAATAAAGCAATGCACCGTGTCTTATCAGGTGCTCTATATTTAACGCAGTGGTGTTTACGGTAAATCAACCCTGTCTTGACGCCGGTGGCATGTGTTTGATATGCATGCTTAATCACATGTGCTTTAAATAGTGCTGAGTCAAGGTGATTTTAGTGTATAAGCTTTTAAAAGCAAATTGTCAGGCAAAATTCCTATTGACGATGAACTCTTGAAGAATCTCATATCCTTTATATTGGCGTGTTTTGTTGGGGGCAACGTAACCACAAACATGCATGTGAACTTAAATTTAAAAGTGTTTTCTATTTATCATATCAAATGATATATAAATGGTCGTTAGGCCTACTTGCAAAAAAGCGCTTAGAACTATGGAACTATTGAATTCCATTTGAACTCATATTTTTAACAACTTTGTACTTTTGGTTACAATGATATTTAATAAATTTATATCATCATTATGTCCCTTTGTCTTTTTTGCGACATTTTCTTAGTCTTTGCTCTACATTGAGTAATTAATTTTTTTATATTATATTTTATATTTTTACATTATAATATAATTTTATACTATTGATGGGTGTAGTCATCTTGTGTCTTGTGTGTGTTTGTGGAGGGGGGGGTCTAAGTTTTTGGGCTTAAAGTTCCTCTTAAAGTTTTTAACCTTAAGTTAAAACTTTCTAAGTTAAATCGATGTTTCACATATGGTGTTACCGTATAAACAGTATATACCCCCCTCCCCCGGTGGTGTAACAGTGAAAATGTTTTATGGTATCATGAGTTATTCTCGGTTTGGAAATTCTGTTAAATGACGAACTGTTCATAAATAATATTATATTTTCAGACTGTCAGACGGCGCATTCTACACGCAAGATGGCTTGGAGATCAACAAAGAACTGAGCGACAGAGTCTGGACGGTCTACACAACCATCAGTGACGAGGTTTATTCCCCAAGCACAAGCAAGGACAAATCTTCAATGACAGTTGAAGACTACTTCAGCGTGAGATACGAAGAGGAGAGACAGCAATTCCGGGACGACGAACAAGAAACTGCGGCCGCCATTTTCAATTGTATTAAAAATGGCGAACAGGTCTACGTTGGGAGCGATCTTCCGCACGTGCCGGTGCTCGACTTGGAGAATTTCACAGAAATAGTCGGAGGGGACGCGCTGGTCGCCAAAGGGTTGGCATCTGTTCTTAAGCCTCTATCGAGTAATCTACCAGACGGGTGTGTTCGACTTAATCGAGAAGTGACGAAGATTAGGTGGAAAAATGACGTCAAGGATCGCGCTGACGTCATTGTCGTCTGCTCAAATGGTGAAACGTACACGGCAGACGTATGTTTAGTCACAGTGCCTCTGGGTTACCTGAAACAACACGCCCATAGAATTTTTAAACCTTCCCTTCCAGTGGATAAGTTGTTGGCAATAGACAAAATAAATGCTGGCTGCGTTGATAAACTTTTCCTCGTGTACGACAAGCCTTTCTGGAAAAGGGGACAACTGGGGAGCGTTAAATTGGCGTGGAGAGGGGAAGAGGGTGTGGTCAGAGATCCATATAAGGAATGGTACAAACGGATCTTTTCATTCGACGAATACCCGACCCATCCCAACGTGCTAGTAGGCTGGATATCAGGGTTCGTAGAGGCGCGGCAGGCGGAGCTCCTTCCTGAAGCCGACATCAGTCAAAAATGCACCGAAATTCTCCGATCTTTCCTTGGCGACAAAAGCATCCCGGAACCGAGCAAGATAATCCGCTCTCAGTGGGGGACGGACCTCTACACACTGGGGTCATACGTCGCTCTTACCCTACCAGGGTCTCCTGAAGATTTTGCCAAACTTGCAGAGCCGGTAGCAGACAGCCGGGGAGAAGTTCGTCTGCTCTTTGCAGGCGAGGCGACCGACGTTGCCTTCAACTCTACCATGCACGGAGCGAGGAACTCTGGGATACGCGAGGCGGAGCGGATCATTAAGAGTTTATCATGAAAGAAGATGTACGGAGAAGGCATACGCTGCAGACGTGTGACGCACGCCAATGAAGTATTTGATTTACTTGATGATTTTGACATAAACGAACAAATCGTAGGGCCTATATTTGTGGAGGCCCACAGTTAGTAATTAGCAAACACCACAAAATTTAGATTCAGTTAACATGTTGAATTAAGAAACACCATCGTAGGGCCTCCTTACACTGAAAGTCGTGTCGAACATTGTGGATTTGGAATCAAAAATTGTTTATTGCACATATTGATGATTTTTAAATATTTAAATTAATATTAAAATATCTAAAAAATCCAGAATGGTGCATGAAACGGGGGAAGTGATCGTAGGCCTATTATTGGAGGTGATGGTAATGATGATGGTCCATGTAGGGCCTACTGTATATCATATACAAAATTTTATGTTCCACAGATAAAAGTTGATTTAAATGTACGTTCATGTGGATGTATTTTTTATCCTGCCATTGCATAATCTTTACATTACACATAGTGCCAAGTATATTTTCCTATAACCAATTAAGGTGGTTGGTGCTTACAGGAAAACAATTTAATATGCCATGGAAAACAATAATAATGTTATTGTACTGCCAATTATCTTCCATGGTATCCCATTAAGTGATTATGTAGTTTATTTAACTTTAAAGACGTGAGCAATTAAACAAAACAGTATTATGATAAAATAGATATATCTAGTCAATATCGTATAAACGTTAACAGTGCGACAAATTGCAGTCAGTATTCGACTCTAAAATGTGGAAAAAGTGTGTATAGATAAAGGGATAACAACTCTTATGTGAGATTCATTTTTCACATTATATACATTGTGAACAGCTCATAGAAATATAATAAATTACATTTAACACCAAAACGGTGGTTATCGCAATTATTCTGAAATATGTGCTTGCCATATCAGACCGCGTGGAGCTTCAGAGATGACTTCCCTCTGAAATATCTCTCAAGAGATTAAATAAAAAAACAAACTTAAAGAAAAAAAAACATGCACTAACTTTGAATGTCGGAACGGATTCATTCACTATTGATACATACCAAGGGATGTTATGTGACCGTGGCGATATGCTGATCACTGAAGCCTGTCCATTTAGATAAGCTTCAGTGAAGATCGAGGGCAACCTCGAGCCGCTATCCAGAAATATCTCGCTTCACTCTACATCGGAAAACTCGGATTTAACCTCCATGAAGTCTAGAATTTCACAACTACATCTTGGTTATATAAGTCGAGGTTTCTAAAATGCTGAAAGCCGAAGCCAGAGCTTCACATGTAACCTTTTGGCAGCAAGAGAATAGCGACTTTGCTTGCGTTATATATCTAGACAAATTTAAAATCTCTCACACTCTTAAAAATCAGCATAAACTTTTCATGTTCAACAATTAATATTTATCATTTTATCTCACTAAGTCATATCATATGTGTATGGTTTGAAAGCGGGAATTATTTTACATTTAAACCACACGTGCATACAAAAAAATTTACGACGGTTGTGTTATTTACCTTTTGTATTTAAGCTGTTCATTCTTCCTCTTTATCAGTAATATCGGTAAAAATCAAATCTATTCCCCCTTTGAACTTGTAATTACATGTAGCTCATGGATGCTCTGAAAACCAGCACGTGGATGTTCAAAAACCGCCTCGCAGTAAAAATGTCACTAAAACGTAGAATTATCACTCTTGTAGACTGGTAATATACATCCGTCTGCCTTGTTGTCAGATATATCACAAAAACGTAAATTTCTTCCTACTTTGTACTTGTGAAGAATTAATTTGACTATATTCCGGTCCGACGCTCCTTGTTTATCAGAAATGTCACTTAAAAGAAGTGGATTTGCCTTGGGACCTTTTTTCCGCAGCAGTTCCAGCTAGGTGTGGCTCAGCTATCACGCGCATGGTCAGTGTCGACGGTTGATTAAATACTATTCAAGCGAGTTGAACTTCCACAACAAGTATTTAGCAAAAATTGACCAAATTGGTCAGACATTACGTAAGAATTTGGCGGGAGGTGACCAGTGCACGTGGACGAGTTTATTCCATATAACATCTCTAGAGCGTGATATAGGGTCACTTTATTCGGTTTTAGGGGTGTTTTAGGGTGAAATGACTATATTTTTTCTCTGTGTTTGTCAAATAATACACTGTCACCCTCTCGCGATATATGCCATGACCACCTCTCACTGACGCACGAGGTGTTATGGCATACATCGCACGGGTGACAGTGTATTATCTCACACTTAACGTTTGACGTTAGTACTAAACAGAATGTGGAGGTGGTGGAATCTATAGGCAACCAGCTAATGTCAGAAGCCTACAACATAGACCTTTTTGGCTACACTGCAGGTAGAAATAGAGGCATTTTCTGTCTTCAAAAATGAATAACTACTTTTATTATTAGGAATTTATGGGCTTTAGGATGAATAATTTACAATTTATATTAATCCAATATCGGACATTTAAAAAATAATGAGAAACATGCCTTCGTGAACATTTTACTATATCAAACTGTCTGCCGGTGAGTGAACTAACCAAAAGGCCGTCTGGGCTCCGTATCGCGAAAGGTTCGCTATGTTGCGCACGTGCGCAAGCGTCTCGATTCCATAACTCGCCCATACTCGTCCCATATAATTTTACAGTTAAACGAGACTTACCTGTAAGTTGAAGTTTGACTGGGATTCTGCCTCGTCTTCAGGAACATAGGGTTTACGTGAGATAGAACTAGTCCTGTAGCCTCTATTTGATATAGCGATTCGCAATACGCGATGCTTTCGAGATACGGGCCCCGTATCTCGAAATAGAATCGGTTATGGAATCGAGACACTTGCGCAACATAGCGAACCTTTCGAGATACGGAGCCCTGGTCTCCAAACCCTAAGCTGCAGAGTCGGCCAATAGACCCCGTATGGTGATTGCAGTTTAGGAGCATCGAGAACATATTCAAGATTTTCTAATTATACGCTTTACTATACGTTGAAATTATCTGCATCTTGAAAAACTGACGCAAAATAAATCGATTTACGCTAAGAAACGGAAGGTTAGAAGAATTCATTCAACGGAACAGCACCTTCATACAATATACCATTTTCAATGAAAACACGTTGCAATCAAATCAGGTCTTTATTTAGTGTTTTGAGCTAATATTTCCCAGTTTGCCTTTGAATGTATTTCTTCTATACACATTTCAAGATCGGCAGGTATATGTGAGCTGGTTTTCAAAACATCCAGGCTTGTCAGTGTGTACAAGAAACGCAACAAACACATTGATAAATTTAAAAGAAGCATTATATATATATTGAAAATCAGTTCCTCAATACATAAACATGAGACCCTTCTCACACTGAGTGGTATAATTAGTCTGTAACAGCCATTTGTAAGATTGACAACTTAATAGTAATTTTAACAGTAAGAGAATCGCCTACACGCCAATCAATTAAGTTAACCAAGCTGTAGCAACTCTACCAGGCTCACATACTGATTTTTCACAAGAAATTCACAGACATGTCTCTGGCCAATTCATTGCAAGATTCTAGCCCGAGAAAAGTGCACATAATTTAAACTGGCACATGTAGCAGCAACAACACTTGCGGGGAACTTGTAAAAGAGAGATCCCCTGTAACGAAATTACATGCTAGGACTTGTCAAAGTGTACAGGTAGACTGTATGGCTCAAGTATACCACTCGCTAAGAAAAGGCTATTAATAACGGTACTGAATAAATGTACTACAATTACATAATACAGTGTCTAAAACAAAAGAGTACAAATTAGAGGTAACAGTCATGAGTCTATGGACACGTTCCCATCAAAACTATCGATCTACACAGATCGATCCAACTCTGCTGAATGCAATACTAACCTGCTAAAGTGACTGCATTCAGCATGAGTTGGATTGATCTACCTAGAACAATAATTTTAATGGGAATGAGACCTAGCAACCTTAATTATCAACCTGATCACTGGTTTTCAACATAATCTAATTGACTAACAAGATTAAACCTTCTACAAAATTTGAAGTCATAAAACATTTCTCTGGCTAAGCATTACATTTGTCTGGAGAGAGAATTATTTGATTTTAAATAACACACACAGTGTAAAATATTGCCCTTATCTAGTCAAAAAATTTGAGATAATATTTCTTTGGATTTTAGAGTGAAGAAAATATAATATTCTTTTCTCAGAGTTTTTATGATGGAATCGTGGAATGCATACAAATTTTCAAATTGATTACAACATCTGGTATGGAACATATTAATGAACAGCGTTTCCTGTACAGGATAAAATACAATAAACCCATTTTTACTATCTTCAAGTTGGTCAATTTGTTTGACCCTAATAGCATTCAGTTGTAAATTTCCCACTAGATTTGCAGTATGGAAATTAGAAGTTATTTCTTTTTCTTCAACATTGGAGTAAAAATAAACTTATATTTCAGATAAAACAATTTTTTTTATTTCACACTCCAGGAATGTCCTCTCCAAACTTGCTTCTGTGTGCTGCTCTCTTGTGTGGCACTATAATCTAAAAAAATAAATAAATAATAATAATTATTATTCATTTCTTAAAACCAAGCTACTCATGCGCCTCAGTGCTGTTTACATGTGTACATAAAAACTCTTCGACTATATTCTACATCCATAAATTCCATACATGTATAAATAGATATGAAATACCACTGAAACTCTTGAAAATAATTTATCACTCAGCCAGGTTAATCTCTCTTAAAGAATAGTTATAAATCATGCATCTGCCTCAAAGAAGTAATTTATCTTGTAAGCTACAAAATTACTATAAACAATTAAAATTTGAAAGCAGAAGTATAGAACTACATTTTAATAATAAAATGAAAAATCTAAATGATAATTAAAATGTCAATAAAAATAAATTAATCCTGATTTCTAATGGTTTTCCAGGCTATCAGAAAGACAGGTCTAACTGGACTGACATTTCCCATTAAAAACACAAGAATATATCAGTTGGTAAAGACTGAGAATAAGAATCACACCACAAAGACAGGTCTGAATGGAATGATAGCTACCTCATTATGTATGTAGGCGTCACATCCATAACACCACACTGACAGGTCTGAATAGCTTAATACCATTTTGTGTTCTGTACTCAACCCATGGAAAAAGCATGTGCTCATTGACGTATCTTCCACAGCAAACCTAGAAGGTACAAAACAGCTTAAGTGACAATAATTCTGACCAAACAGAGATAGAAAAACAGTTTAACAATGACCATTTAAATTATTAAATATGTTCCAGTATACACAGGATTAAGCTTTTACTCCTTGTATTGCTTATATTATATTATATCCCAATCAAAAACATATTCCACCAGCTGAGTGCTATGAAATCTCTACTCACTTCATAACATGTGAGGCAGACCCAGTTTTCCTTCGTGCTTTCACACATGGAGCATGCTGCGAACACGTCCAGGCCTCTCTCTGGTGGAGGAGCCACCATTTTGAGATGTTCGCACCATGGCAAGGGAACTACAGCAAACATCTGCAGGTCATCCTATGATAAATGAAACAATAAAAATATTACTATTATCTTTATTAATGTAAAAGTCTTAATTACTTGTATGTACTAGTTACAACATGGGTTGTCCACTGTATGACATACAAGAGTATAATTATATTGAGGCGCAGCAGAGATATAATTAACTTTTATATGTCCCATTCAGTGGATTGTGAGTAATTGTAAATGACTTATCCAACTTACAAAAATAAGATGCATACATATGAAACATATGAAAGTGCAGGCAAGAGTGTAAGCAAAATACATATGCAATTATCCAATTTATTGAAGTGCCGGCCATGGAGTAAAAGAGAGCTTTTAGATGTCACAAAGTCAACACAACAATAACTCGTCTACTGTTCCAATAAGTTGCCAGTCTTTATGGATCAGTGCTTTCTGACACGACCAATAGATGGCACTGGTGAATTCAAATAAACACTTTACCTGGTCAGCTAAGGCTCCTCCCAGTAGCTCGCGTACAGTCAAATTCTTGGCCTCTGATCCACCACAAGCTCCTAGAGGAGAGTCTCCCGTGCAGTCACTAGATGTCACTGTAGGCGAGGACAGAAAACTGCCTCCATCTGAAGAGCTGCTGACTGACTCATATTTCACTGAATACAATAAAGTTGTTACAAGATTTTTTTTTGTTGTTTGGGGAAACTTTTTTCCTGTAACAATCACACACATATACATGCACATGCACACACAAATGCTCGTTTCTTATTCTTCTGTAGAAATCTCAGAAACCCCAGTTACCTGTACTCATGCAGTATTGACTGAATTTTCACCTGTATCAGAAGAAGATGTTTTAGCATTAATGAAAAGCATGAATTCTAAATCTTCTGCCTTAGATCCTGTGCCAACACATATTATCAAAGAGTGCATTACTGTTCTGGCCCCAGTTATTTTAAAGATAGTGAATCTCTCTTTTACAACAGGCATCTTCCCATCCAACTGCAAAGCAGCAATTGTTAGACCCTTGTTAAAAAAACAAGGCCTGTGCAAACAAGTGTTTAAAAATTATCGACCAATATCAAACTTGCCCTTCTTAGGGAAGTTTCTTGAGAAAATGGCATGTATACAACTGAATAACTATCTAGCTCANCACATGCACACACAAATGCTATTTATTGCTTTTGAAAGAGGAAACTGAATACAAGCTAAAACTGTTTCTTTACATATTAATAAAATTCTGAACAGACAAGATAAACAACGAGAAAGCACGAAGCCTTGACCCTAAAAATTAGATCATGGGAGTAACAGGACTAAAATACAAGTCCATAAAAAATACAGAAAAAATTTTAAATATACAGATTGCCATCTCTTTTCAGGCAAGTAGCAAAATAAATATTCACACAAACAAAAAGTTATTTCAGATAGACCACACTATACCTTGTAGAGCTCCAATGGCGGTGGTAAGACTGTCCATATCTGAGGTACTGGTCACAGCATTGTTCTGGACACCTGCTGTCACTGGGAGAACTGGGGCTGGTAAATCAACTGAAACACAAGATATGGCTTTAACAAGGCAGCAAAGCTGTTAAATGTACAGACCAAGTCAACTGAAATACCAGACATATGGCTTTTAAAATTGGCTTGGCTTGACCAGTTTTGCTACTTCAACACCATTTTCCCTTTCCCTGGCTTTTTTAAAAATAGAATAGTCAATGAAAGCTGCAATTCATTTATTGTCAGCTACTTTCTGGTACATGAGAACTTATGAATCTTAAAATATGCTTCAGCATAGCAGGACCTTAAATAGATAACAGTGATCCCACCATAGTCTTTCGTCATGCACACAAGCTGCAAATACAGTGAGATTTAATTCCACAGATATATCCAAAATCAATATTACTAAATCAAATCCAGTAACCTCACCCCTAAACTGAAGACACTTCCAGTACTTCTTGTGTGTGTCCAGCACATTACATATGGACTCTACGGCCATTGTCTTAGGTACCAGAGACCCCAGGGGCGGACATGTTCCTCCCAGGAGAACCTTGGTACACATAGCCATGCTTTCTGATATGGAGTGGAGGTTGTAGCCACCCTAGAAATATACAGGAGAAATGCGAGACATAATACATGGTTCAGAACTATATATGGCAAAACTGGTGCCCAGATTCGACATATATTTGTGTGCGTGCGTGTGTGTGTGTGTGTGTGCAAAGAGACTTTGACATAAGAAGAAAACCAGTCTTTTTGGTCAAAATGTTTGAAATTTGAAATGCTAGCATCCTATGGAATTCTGATCAATGCAATTACAGTATTTCACTTCTGTTCTCTGTGAAGGTGCCATACTATACAGTGAGTTTCAGAGGTTACTAAAGAACCACAAAAACAATAATTATTATCAAATTGCTTCTAGGGGTGAGTTTCCAGTAATCTCTGCACCTCATGGTGAAGTGCCTGGGTATACTTTACCTCTAGTGCTAATATGACTCTCCCATTGGCCAAGCTCATCAACATCTGAGTCATGTGACCATAGCCAGCAGGGGTGATGTCACAATGACCCTGAAATAACATTGTTTCAATAACCTTTCATAATATACATGACTTATAGTAGCTTAAGATCGAAACATAATTAACTCTGAATCATGACATTCTTATATCATGTAATATCTGAAATATATTTCTTTGAAAAATTATGAAAAATTATGTCTTTTACTCCATGATCTTAAAACAAAGCAATAGAACTACATGTATTATTTCATGACATCAAAAAGAGTATAACTCTTTAAAATGTCAAATGTAATAGTCTCATTTTTCATACTTGTAAGTCTATATCAAGTATAAATTATACTAAAATGTAAAATAAAACTGCAGCCCCTCTTGTTCCAGCCCTCTTGTTGTGCAAAATCCTTTAACAATGCTCCTCCCAGGTTTTTGCAAACTTAGCAAAGTTGCAGATACTGGGTACTACAGGGTTACATTAAGACCACACTGTGGTTGTCACAATTCAAGTCCACTTACCAAGGGATCTCCCCTTGCTGCATCAAACCCAGCGGATACCAACACCAAATCTGGGTCAAACTGAAAAGAAAAAGAGTCATCGAGTAGAAAAAGGCAACCAGTAGAAACAATTTCATTAAGATTAAGCACTCAGAAATCCACGAAAAATCATCAACAAACACAAATTACCAACTTATTTAACTTATCGTATTAACAATGCAATCAGAATATATTAAACTATAAGAAAAAACTACAATTAAGTAATTTTCAAACCCTTACACACTTATAAAATCTATCTATCTATCTATCTATCTATCTATCTATCTTAAAGCAAAGAGCTAAGAAATACCCTCACCTCATATGCCACTGGCATGATCACCTGGAGGAAGGCTGCTATGTACTCCGCGTCACCCATACCATACTGTAAAATAACAATTGGTTTTTATCTTAAATTGTACTAAAATAGACACGCCTTTATGAAGATTATTTCTTGAGATAATACAACACATTTAAAAATAATTCATTTCTGTATTTAAGAAAGGTTTTTAAAAAGTTTCAAAAAAATTTTTTCTTCACCTTGTTCCAGGGAATGTTGATGTTAAAGCCAGCGCCTGCTCCATTTCCCACTTTATCATAGTTTCCATCTGGTCCAGCGGGGAAGAAGAACCCCTGGTCATAGCGATGGATTGATATGTACAGTACGCTGAAATGACATTAGACATAAAATGGTTAAGTTTGGATCTTATACACTGCACTTTGGGGACACAATAGGGAAAATTGTGAAATTTACACAATGTGATACTGTGACTGTATTTTACAAGTCATAAATTCTTAAAATCAGAACATTCCTATTGGTTGGTGGCAACATAACTGAAAAGCATGATACCTTACAGAGTAAAAGCACCAATTTGTTTTTTTTTTATAAATATATATCCTATACAGAAATATAAATCTTAATGAAATCAGAATCGTTTTACTTCAAGATTGACAATTTTTCTTCATTGAAGAGATGGAGTCATTAACATATGTTAACTTTGCCCATGTGTAATATCTACTGTCAACAGTACCTTGGATCATCTTCAAAGATGTGCTGTATACCATTACCATGGTGGACATCCCAGTCCAGTATTAGAACTCTGACAATATAAGAGATATCACAATGAGGACTGGATTAATTTTAACAGTAAAGTGTAGTTAACTTAAAAAAAAAATAATGACAAAAAAGTAAATCGTAACTAATGAGACTTTATTATGTTTTTCTACCTAAGAAACAAGACTGAGGTTTTCACCCTCAGGCTTCTTTAAATGGCCTTAATCACATGAATGACTTATAAGTAAAAAATTGGTTATTACAACACACTGTTCTTATATTCTACTACCTACGATTCTTTTTTAAAAAACTTTTAATACTTCAAAAACACACAACAACATTATAGTTCAGCTTCTAAAATTTCGTGTCCATAAATATCTCTGCTGTCTAGTACTACCACATACTTTTTCACACCAAACGTCTTCTGAGCATAGCGAGCTGCGATGGCAACATTGTTAAACAGACAGAATCCGCACGCCTGGTTGATCTCCGCATGGTGACCTGGGGGTCTTATCACAGCAACACCATTCTGACTCTACAAGATAACACAAAATTACAAATATTTTATCCACATGGAGCATAAATGTTCTGTCATGTGACACACCTATCACGTTGGATCATTGTGGCACAACTCTGTAGGTTCTATCCCCTATAACATGGACTGCTACTGTTACATTTTACTTAGCTGTATAATCAGAAGTATTACAAGTATTATTTCGACTCTTGTGACTTTCAATTTCCTACAGTAATAAGTATAAATAAATAGATAGATATTAATTATTTAAAAAAAAAGCGATTGGATAGTTGGGCAAATATTGCTATACCTTTATTTGAAATCCATGAAGGAGAGCTCCTTCAGATATTTTATATTCAATAACAGCTAACTCATAATGGTTAACTCATTTCTAAACCTTGGAAGCCTTTATTTATCTTACCTTGTTAGTCAAGACTGCCTCCACCACATTTAACAGACTACCTACAGCCAGCAGGGCACAGTCATAGGACTCCTGGACAGAAATATAAATTCATACAATATATAATAATAATAATAATAATAAAACTGTAAAAAAAATTTAAAATACACTGAAGTATATGTGGGTATCGATTAAAACTATAAATTAAACACACATACATAAATGAAAAGTGTCCTTATTCTTTAACACAATATGATACAAATTGAGTCTTACGACATTTGTTAAGGTTTAATAATAATAATTTTTTGTTGCAAAAAAGATTAATACTGAGCAATAAAATTAATGATATTCAATCATTCAAATCATCATCTGTTATTCAGCTGATACTGTATTTTCAAAAGATTATTAGAAAAGCCAGTAATTTAATCTGTCTTGAAGGCATTAACTCTGACTAGCAGATACTAATTGTTTGCAAAAGATTCACAGAATGGACGTCTTACCTGACATAGATAGACTGAGTTATACTGCAGCTGAACTTCTTTGAGTTCTCTGGGTTTGGTCTCTTTAATCTGCTGCATCTTCTTAAAGTGTTCTGTCCTGGAGTGAGATATAAAATATTGCTGGTCAGTCTTACCTTTAAGCTCCATCAGAGTTATGATAGTAAAGATAATACTAATTTGTGCCAAAAATAGTCAGACTGTAAAATAAAATGACCACAGAGGATGGTTAACTGAACAAAATGGTAAGGTAAAAAGTCACAGATGATTTAAGTTATATTTAAAATTTAAAGCTTAAATGAAGGTTTTAGATAAAATGTGATATGATTATTTTTAAAATGCAACTTGGTACATAAAGGATATTAGTTGAAGAAAATGTTTCACTTTAAATTTTGGTTTCGTAAGTATAATTTCGTTAATTTATTAAGGTTTGTAAGATCCAAGAAATGTTTTTGAGGAAAAGACCATCCTCGATCTTGGCTCCTTGTGTTAAAACATGCACGCACACTTCTCTATGACAAATACTACATGGGGGCAAGAAAAAAAATCAATGATAAAAATTTTTAAACTGTAAAACAGTATTTCAGTCTGACAGCTGTGGCAGTACAAGGAGCAAATTGATAACATGATTGCAGCATAATCGGTGGTTTAAAATTCTGTTATAATCACAGGCTTAATTTTTATACACGCTTTCAATAACCTATCTGTCAGGGTGAACATATCCTTGTTATTATGTCAATTTTCAGAGCCTAGGCTTACTTGTGACATGTCAGTACCTCTTCATCTGTTGCCATCCTTGACTGGAAAATACATAGAAGTACATAAGACAGTTTTGGAAAGATTCAAGCTTTTCTAAATTACAGAAAATCAGTTGATGAAAAAACATGCCTATCATAATTAACTCAATCTAATAAAGCTAAGTATTGGATACTAGTACATATCATTATTTAAGCTACTGATTCTGAGTGAAACTTTCTACTGGTAGACAATTATATTACCTCCACCCTTAGGCAATGTTTCAGCAACCTATACTCCTGAATCTTGTTATAAATTTTGGTTATTCTGTCAGGTCTCTCTGGGTGACCCCTACGTATAATAAAGAAGTATAATAAACTAAAAGGGTTGAGTGTGTCCAGAAAATGGGGAAACCATGCCATCTATAGCTACTTCTTGATAATTATCGAGACCTCCAGGTTTCACATTCAATGTGACATGAATTGATCTCATCTTCTCACAAACTGGAAGAATACGTGACTTAGTATGCCAAAAACACACAATGTCATTTAGCCCTACGGGACAGGTTATAATTAATTCTTTTAACACAAAAACCTTCATTTTTTTTCTTTTATTTTGTATTGTACTACTAAAACATATCACTTAAATAAATGATTTCTCTCTCTAATACTCTACACAAAGTTGAATGTTTTGCTTATTGATATTTCAATTTCAAATAATTGCACTGCATCATTAATTCCACAGTTTCTTTGTGAAAAGGAGGCTAACTTACGGATCAACGTGGTTCTTGTGTTTCCTCATGACTTCATCATAGACCAGGGCTGTCCTGTACGAGAACAGAAATCATTAACTACACAATGTCAAATGAACCTAAGGGCCCATTCCCCAAGAAACTATCATTTTACATAGATCAATCCCACCATGTGAGGACTCATAATCAGGAATAATCATTTAGTGAATAAGTCAGAAAATATGACGTGGGGCTAAGGGAGTACCTAGGCCAATATTATTTTTTTGCTCCCAAAAAGTCAGAAATCTACCAACAGCCGGAAAAATCTCATCCCTGAATAACAGTACACTGATGCCCATTCACCTGTGTGGTGCCTTGCCCAGGTAAGTGTTATCTATCAGCTCCTGTATTCTGGCACTGTAGGTGGCCTTTACCTCTGGCTCCTGGACTGGGTAACAACACTCGTCTATTGGGTACACCTCGGGACGGTTCTCTGGGGTGGAAAACGGCACAGTTCTCCTAGGAGATGGAATGAAAAGTTCAAATCACTTGGATATGCCAATTCATGATGACTTTTAAATTAAACATGAAAAATAAAAAAGGAGTAGAGGGACAAATTAACCTGATGGACAATGTTCTCCTTACAGATGAATTTGACCACAAGAATAACTTCAATGATAGCTATATTTCTTATTTGTTTACTTAGCAATTTTATATATATTAAAAGAGAAGACTGAGCTGACTGGTATTTTACACTGTTAATCATGTAAGACCTTTTTGTTCAGTTTATTATCAACATTTATTATTGTTCCATTTAAAAGGCCTATCTATAAGAAACTTACAAGTGTTCATCTTCCTGTGTGGTACTGGATACCTCAGCACTCTGTACTGGCAGCACCCCCTGGAACTGGAGACACTGCCAATATGGACGTAACACGCGGATAGCATTCAGTATGGTCTTCTTGATACTGAAATGTGGGAATAAAGAAAGATAGGGGAGATACTTACAGCCCTGAAAATGATGATGGTGAAGTTAAAAACACTGAGTACTGTAATATGATCTGATAATCTGAACTCATGACTACCTTACTGTCCTCTTGCCACATCTGTCTCCCATTTCACATCTATTTAGTAAAATATGAACATCAAGAAAATTCATAACACTGGTCTACAATTTCTGACTATTTTTTTCAGAGTTATTGCTGATAAAAGTATGAAAAACACATCACTAAATTACCATGCATATGATGTGAATATAGAATTCAAGAATCGATCATCCTGCTTACAGAAATTTATGTTATAAGTGAATCCCGTTTTCAATTTGTCTGGTAAAACAAAATGAAAAAAAAATTCCCAACAAGCGGGGAAGAAGGCATGAAGTATCTTACACATCATTAGGTTGCTGTAGTGGTCCTATCCTGGGTGTCGGGTCTCCCAGTAGAGCCCTCAGTGTGAGAGCCACGCCCTCAGACAGAGACTTCAGGCAGTATCCTCCCTATGGAGAGCATAATGTCCAGGTCATATATTTTTACTTTAAACAGTGGTGATTAAAATGTGGTGTTGCTCAACACTTTATCAAAGTTTAAAAATTGATTTCTTAAAAAATATGGACATTAAATATTATGTTTTATGTAGATGATTTTTGGAAGGTACTTGTTAAATTTATGACAACAATTCACGTCAAACTTCCACACATTTACCAAGTGCACTGTTCTACCAAACACAGTCACATCAAACACATTGTCACACCTAACAAACTGTCATATATTACATCACACTTACCTCTAGTATAACAGCCAGTTTGCCATCAGCCAGAGCACTGAGCATGTTGATAAAATGAGCATAGCAAGCTGGGGTCACCTCCATTTCCCCCTGCAATGCAACATAGTAAAACTAATACATATACAGGTGCATATAGTTGGACAACTACTTGGAAAAAATGTTTAAAAGTGAGAAAAGAACTTGCAACAGCCAAGTAAACGGTCTGAGGCTTAGCAAAATGTAAGCTGATGTCATATTTGTTTGTATTAATTAAAATAGTTTTTAAGTTACATTCAATCATATTATAAAAAGATCGGTATTCTATCAATCGTTTTTATCTTTACATACCTGTAATTACCACAGGTGAACTTTTAACTCTTTAAACATTTAAAAAATGTAAGTAAAACTTTTAAAAACATGGATTATATCAATTCTTGAATCTTTGTAAATAAATAATCAAAAACAGGAGCAATCTGTCAACTGGAAGGGTAAGACATTACAGAAAGTAGCAGTTTCACAAAAGAAATAGCAGTCATTCAAATTGGGCAAAACTATTGGACTAAAATATATGGTCTGCCTGATCTGCAGTTTTCCACTAAAAAAGTGTTGGTTTGAAAGATCAGTCATGTCTTTCTTCTTACAAAAACTTCATAAAATTAGACTAATACTATGGAATCAGATTATCGTGGGGCAAAATTTTGAGATCTAAAAATTTAGACCAATTTTTTTTTTTTTTTTTTTTTGGGGGGGGGGGGCAAAACAATCTTTTGTGAAACTTGTATTCAATATCACTACAAAAAAGTAACTGGAAAATAGTAAGTAGAAACAAGTTAAGACAGTTAATGGTTGGTTAAAGAAGACAAAAGTAACATCAGGTATTATACCTTCTCATCTCCAATTGCTGAGTCAAATCCACTAGAAACTATAACCAATTGGGGACAAAACTAAAGGAGGAAAAGGAAGAACACTGCCATGTAATAATTAGTACTACAAGCATAACACTCATGCTATGGGACTAATTGCAATCTCCCTGTTCAAGAAACTGATTGACACCCATGCTGTTTGTGCAATATCAATTGCTCCTTTATCTTTAATAAGAAAATTGTTTTGGTGATGGTGATCTAGAGTAATATAACCTATGATTATTTCAAGTAATAGATCAAAATGTCACAACTTTTGGTCGAATAATAGTGCCATGCAACTGCCTGCTTTTAAACAATATCTACTTTTGCCAAAAAATGTGTTTCACAAAAAAAAAAAAAAAAAAAAAAAAAAAAAAAAAAAAAANACACCCCTGAACCATCTCTGGCTACGGGCCAGAGTCTGAAAAGAATTTTTATTCAATACCTAAGCTAGTTCGTTTAGACTAAAGTTTAGATGAATAAAATGGACAGTTTTGCACCCTGACTGTGCCATTGTGGATTTTCCGCATGGAAAATGATGTTGTCCCTCATTTTGACATATAGCACCGTTTAAGGCGCAATATTACTTAAAATATCCGTTAAAATTAGTTAAGAGCACCCATCTAAAAAGCAAATGAATATTTCTCCTTTTCACTTATCGTTTACTCAACATGCAGTCCGACGGAAGCCATACTTGTTTACCCAGCACGTGTAGTTAGGTGTTCTCAGAGGTCCGCGCGTGGCCAGTCGTAAGCAGGTTGAGTGGCCTGTTTTCAGTCTTGAGCAGTACGATTTTCATTGACCTGTAGTTGTTTCAGTTTCGATACATTTTTTTGTGAAACGGGTCACATGTCAGCCCTCACACCATCGCTACGCACACTTCAAGCGACATCATAATGTACGTAGACCTTTATTACAAAACGCGCCAGTATATGGCGCAAGTTAAAGTTTTACTTGCGCATAGTGCGTACTTAGAGCTTTACGATAAATTCAAATATGAGTGAGGTGTCTGTTAAAGAAAGCGACTTAAGTCCGTCAGACATGTGGGCCGATGAGTTAAAAGGGTTTTCCAGCCCACAGAATTTTTGCCGGCATATGGCCATGGTCCGACAGCTTTCGCAATCACTGTCTGAACATGCACAAATAAAGTGGACCACACCCTTATTGGTCTGTGTACAATAACCTAAGCAGTGTAAACAATGAGTTTCTTGAACAGGTGTTGCTATTTCTAACACAGGGGAAACTCAGTATATAGCATGCACATCTGTACCTCTGGGCATCCTACAGCTGCATCATAACCAGAAGAGACCAATACCAGCTGAGGGTTGTACTGTAATATATGGGGGAGAAGTGTGAGGGGATGTCCAATGTCACTGTTAATGGAGCATTCAACACACTCAGCTGTCACAGTTGACACACTGTCACAGCCAACACACTGTCACACCTAACGCAATGTTAACCATATCACTGGCACACCTAACACAATGTTAACAATATCATACTGTTATACATTTTAATATAATGTCAACTTTATCATTCACACCTAACACAATATTAAACTTGTAACAATCAAACCTGCCATACTGTAACACCTTATACAATGTCAACCATATGACAATGTCACAACAAACACAATGCCATCCACATCATACTGTCACACCTACCACAATGACCACACTGTCACACCTAATACAATCTCAATCTTGTCACACCTAGTGCAATTTCACAACTAAAACAACAATTTTCAACTTAAAATAGTTTATACAGCTGTATTACACTTTTAAAATAATAAATATTGCTCTTAGCCATAAGCAATTGTTGTTCTCTACTTATCATTTGCTAACTGTATGAACAAATATCTTACTTAATGCAATTATTCAATATCATTACTAATTGCAAAACATAATATCTTACTAACACTGCAGTTACCTAATTATTACAGAAAAAGGTAAATTTTAATTGAAACAAGATTTCCATTACCTCATAGAATATAGGCATGAGTAGTTGATGAAACACAGCCATGTAATCACTGTTAGTCATACCAGTCTGAAACCAAAGTTTTCATTTATAAATTCACTGAAATGAATAAACAGTTAAACTCGTCTTCCCTGCGTTTAAATGTATTAATTCGGTGGATTAAATTATGAGTTGACGTGTAACACAGTTCTTGTCTAGTTACTTGTGTTTTCATTAAGTAATTCACTGGACTGAATAAACAGTAGTATTCTTGTCTTGTTTTTAAATTTATTAATTTGCTATATTAAAATTAGCAGTTATGTCCTTTTCTAACTGCACGTTCTTTGTAGCCACCTTGCAAAACAATTGCACATTCCAACAGACATATAGTCAAGTTTATACAATATCAAGAGCAGAAAATATCTTTATACATAGGGTTTTACTTATATATCAGGGATGAGACTTTCTGGCTCCCGATAAGTCAGAAATTTGCAGATATGCCAGAAAAAATCTCATTACTGTTGTAAGCACCAACACCACCTAAAAGGTCTGAAATCTGCCAATAGTCAGAAAAATCTCATCCCTGCTTCAGTCACTATAATTATTTCAACTCACTTATATACACTTTTTCATTCCAACTTTATTTCTGTCACCAAGATATCATATCAACTGATCATGCACAGCATCAGGACAGCTGTGTCTATTTTGAATAAAATCAAATCCCTTTCTCCAATTTTATGCCAATAATATCATTTGATGAATGTGATAATTACCTTATTGAGAGGTATATTGATGTTGTAGCCTGTACCTCGACCCTCTCCTATATAGTCATAGTCGGACTCTCGAAGGTTTGGCCAGAAATTGCCATACTCATAGCGGTGGATAGACACATACATCACTCTGAAAGACACAAAATCACCAGGATTATTAAGCAAACATGTTCATTAGCTTGGTAGTTGTATCATATATGATAATAATTAAACACAAGCTGAAATACTTGCACCAGGATTATTATTTATGAATAGCTTATTAACATTTTATATTTCATGTGCAATATGACAGTATTTAGGCTCTCAGTCTGACATATATAAAAACTACCATTTCCTGTTTCATCTTCATCCCTCACAGGTCACTAATTTTTCCAAGTTTCTTACAAAATCAGACTTTCTCCTACGAACAAAACTTGCTTTTCAAAACAATTGAAAGCATCCCTTTCATACATCTTTTACAAAGCATTACATTAAGTTATAAATACCATCAGTTTATTATTACTTTTAATTCAGCAAGTTAATTCCATCTATTTCTCTTACCTTGGGTCATCATAGAACATGTACTGTGTGCCCTGACCATGGTGGACATCCCAGTCCACTATCAACACCCTGACATATCAAATATACAGTCAGTTAGAAATCAGTGGTTTTAAATATTGACAATTTTTGGCATTATGTTCTGTAAAGCAATAAGTATATTGGCATGGACATTTCTCNAACTTGGCTTGACTGAGAAGTTTGAAATAGTAAAACCAGTCTCTTTTTGGATTGAAAAAAAAAAGTGATGTCTGAACATGCACAAATAAAGTGGACCACACCCTTATTGGTCTGTGTACAATAACCTAAGCAGTGTAAACAATGAGTTTCTTGAACAGGTGTTGCTATTTCTAACACAGGGGAAACTCAGTATATAGCATGCACATCTGTACCTCTGGGCATCCTATAGCTGCATCATAACCAGAGGAGACCAATACCAGCTGAGGGTTGTACTGTAATATATGGGGGAGAAGTGTGAGGGGATGTCCAATGTCACTGTTAATGGAGCATTCAACACACTCAGCTGTCACAGTTGACACACTGTCACAGCCAACACACTGTCACACCTAACGCAATGTTAACCATATCACTGGCACACCTAACACAATGTTAACAATATCATACTGTCATACATTATAATATAATGTCAACTTTATCATTCACACCTAACACAATATTAAACTTGTAACAATCAAACCTGCCATACTGTAACACCTTATACATTGTCAACCATATGACAATGTCACAACAAACACAATGCCATCCACATCATACTGTCACACCTACCACAATGACCACAATATCACACTGTCACACCTAATACAATCTCAATCTTGTCACACCTAGTGCAATTTCACAACTAAAACAACAATTTTCAACTTAAAATAGTTTATACAGCTGTACTACACTTTTAAAATAATAAATCTTGCTCTTAGCCATAAGCAATTGTTGTTCTCTACTTATCATTTGCTAACTGTATGAACAAATATCTTACTTAATGCAATTATTCAATATCATTACTAATTGCAAAACATAATATCTTACTAACACTGCAGTTACTTAATTATTACAGAAAAAGGTAAAATTTAATTGAAACAAGATTTCCATTACCTCATAGAATATAGGCATGAGTAGTTGATGAAACACAGCCATGTAGTCACTGTTAGTCATACCAGTCTGAAACCAAAGTTTTCATTTATAAATTCACTGAAATGAATAAACAGTTAAACTCTTGTCTTCCCTGCGTTTAAATGTATTAATTCAGTGGATTTAATTATTAGTTGACGTGTAACACAGTTCTTGTCTAGTTACTTGTGTTTTCATTTAGTAATTCACTGGACTGAATTAACAGTAGTATTCTTGTCTTACTTGTTTTTAAATTTATTAATTTGCTATATTAAAATTAGCAGTTATGTCCTTGTCTAACTGCACGCTCTTTGTAGCCACCTTGCAAAACAATTGCACATTCCAACAGACATATAGTCAAGTTTATACAATATCAAGAGCAGAAAATATCTATATATATAGGGTTTTACTTATATATCAGGGATGAGACTTTCTGGCTCCCGATAAGTCAGTAATTTGCAGATATGCCAGAAAAATGTCATTACTGTTGTAAGCACCAACACCACCTAAAAGGTCTGAAATCTGCCAATAGTCAGAAAATCTCATCCCTGCTTCAGTCACTATAATTATTTCAACTCACTTATATATACTTTTTCATTCCATCTTTATTTTCTGTCACCAAGATATCATATCAACTGATCATGCACAGCATCAGGACAGCTGTGTCTATTTTGAATAAAATCAAATCCCTTTCTCCAATTTTATGCCAATAACATCATTTGATGAATGTGATAATTACCTTATTGAGAGGTATGTTGATGTTGTAGCCTGTACCTCGACCCTCTCCTATATAGTCGTAGTCGGACTCTCGAAGGTTTGGCCAGAAATTGCCATACTCATAACGGTGGATAGACACATACATCACTCTGAAAGACACAAAAACACCAGGATTATTAAGCAAACATGTTCATTTGCTTGGTAGTTGGATCATATATGATAATAATTAAACACAAGCTGAAATACTTGCACCAGGATTGTTATTTATGAATAGCTTATTTTAATGTTAAAACATTAAATATTTCATGTGCAATATGACAGTATTTAGACTCTCAGTCTGACATATATAAAAACTACCATTTCCTGTTTCATCTTCATCCTTCACAGGTCACTAATTTTTCCACGTTTCTTACAAAATCAGACTTTTCCTACGAACAAAACTTGCTTTTCAAAACATTTGAAAGCATCCCTTTCATATTACTTTTACAAAGCATTACATTAAGTTATAAATACCATCAGTTTATTATTACTTTTAATTCAGCAAGTTAATTCCATCTATTTCTCTTACCTTGGGTCATCATAGAACATGTACTGTGTGCCTTGACCATGGTGGACGTCCCAGTCCACTATCAACACCCTGACATATCAAATATACAGTCAGTTAGAAATCAGTGGTTTTAAATATTGACAATTTTTGGTATTATGTTCTGTAAAGCAATAAGTATATTGGCATGGACATTTCTTTCTCTCTCTCTCTCTCTCGATACATTGAAATATATCTCAGTAATTATTAGACCATACCACACCAAACACATACCTGATTTCTATATACTTTCCCTCAAACCAGCTCACCCATTCCTTGAATACTTGACATTATAGCACTATATAAAACAAACATGACAAAGAGCTTAAGGCCCATTCCCACTGAAAGAACCGTACCAAGTAGATCAATCATGGGGACTCTTGTTTAATGCAAACAAACAAATTGAAATGCCTCCTCTTGTTTCCAACGTACTTGTATAATCACCAGCTTTTCTGAATTCTACTCAATGCCAGGAGGAGGGGTGTTAATCTGTCAATCTGATTGCATTCAGCAAGAGTCCCTGCAGAGTTGCATCAATCTAAATCAAACAAAAACTTCATTGAGAATAAGCCCATAGTGAGTACCTTTCCAGACCAAACTTGTCCAGAGCGCGTTTTGCAGCAATGGCCACATTGTTAAAGAAGCAGTATCCACAGGCCTCTTTGTACATTGCATGGTGACCTGGGGGTCTGGAAAGGAATTAAATAGCAACTTTAAAAATTATTTTTTAGTAATATTAAAGAGATACAGAAGCCCAGCTCTGCAAGTCTCAACCTTTTAAACATGTTAAATGGCTATGGACTACTTAAAGAGTTTTTTTTTTTTAATATTGAAATATCTGCAGTGAGAAGTACATTCTAATGATATTTTTAAAAAATGGGTATGTTTAAAAACTTAACATTTTAATTACTGGTACAAGATAATCTTTATAACTTTATTATTCCTTCTTTAATGCTTACCTTACAATGGCAAACCCATTTCTAACCTGAAATAAATAAACTTCATAAACAGACATACACAAACAATACCATCTATAAATATATATGCAATGTCATCAATTTTTCCATATAATCTATACATGTCTTTAAAATAATATTCGGACCTCTACACGATGAATCAAACACCCCATTTCCATAGATTAGATCGACCTACTTTAGATCGACCTAACTCCCTGGGGGTTCACGCTAAATAGCTGTCAGCCGGGCGGACACGAAAGTTAATTACCTCCTTACAGCTTGTAGTAGGCGGGACGGACATTTAAGTCGGATTATCTGAAAGTAATCTAGTGAGACTCCCCGCGGGGATAGATCGATCTAAAACCTATGGGAATAGAGCCAAAGTTAACATGTCTATAACAATATGTGTAAACTGACCTTTTCTTGCAAGATCTGTTCTGTCATTTCTATGGTACTGCCTAGAGAAAGCTGTGCACATTCAAATGTTTTCTGAAAATTGGCAATAAGAACTAATCATTCTCTTTTTTTATTTCTATCAAATATATTCTCAAATGATAAAAGACTATACTATTTAACCATTATTATAATCATTAATTTAATAATTCAGTTAAAAATTACTAACAAGTACAGACCCAAAACAATTTATAATGAATTTGTCCATTATTATACCTTTATTAAATAAAGTTAAAATCAAATCAAAACATTTTTGAAACAAATTTACAATAAAAATCTAAATAATTATGCAAGCAAAAGCTGCAAGGTATGATAAAAAGCAAGGGAAAATACAAAATTAAAAGTACATAAATTCATTTTTATCTAACTCAATTTTGTTAAAAACGGAACAGCACAAATTAATCCTAAGTAATTGGTTATTATAATTTAACTTTGTTTAAGTTAGTCACATTAAAGCACTAACTACGTGGAAGCCATGCAGGTGCTTGCTTGCACAATGAAAAGCTATTATAACAGCACTTTATTGTAATTTACAGTGCTGATTTGGCCATTATTCTTTTTAATTCTCAGATATCTTGTTTTCCATTCAAAAGTTTTTTTTCTTTTTTTAAATAATTCAAGATACAGTTGTTGTGCACCTACGCTGTTGAAGTAAATGGAGTCATATTTCCCTGAGAGGTCTTGGAGTGTCTGGACCCCCCTTGGTAAGAAGTGTTCAGGGAGATGCCCTTTCTCTGAAGTCATTTTAGGCTACAAATGATCACAGATTGTCAAAATAAGTGGAGGAATGGTTTTCTGGTGAGGAAAAATCATCTGGTGAAGTTTAATGGTAAAATATCTTAGTTTAGAAGCTAGTGGAATTGAGATGTTGTTTGTGCGAGTGCTAATGTGGACATTGGTGCTGGGGTTTAATACTGCTGCCAGAAACATTACAAATCCACAGGACTTCCCGTCATTTTCAACAAATAATGCCATCAAGGATTTCTTTAACTTTTGCCATAATAACAGCTAGGTGACCAAGATACAAAAACGTGCACACATATATTCATAGCTACAACTATTAGCAACAAAAAAAGGAAGCAAATGGACAAAAAGAAATAAATAAAATACATTGATATCTTACATAAGGAGGCAAAACACAAAGCAAATTAAATACGTAGGATAAGCTAACAGTATTGAAAAAAAAAAATTCTGTAACATTCAGAAATTGAACAGAAGCTAGCAGTCTTTGTTTTTTAAGATAAATAAAAGTTGAAATAAGTTTGGTTTTTGCAGAAATCACACTCAGCACTGTATACTAAGAGAGAGCACACACTTTGCCAGAAAAAAATACTTTTCCCAGGAAAATATTTTGTTGTGTACATACACTGTTAAAATAAATGCCATGATATTTTTCTGACAGGTCTTGAAGAGGCTGGATCTCACTAAGGAACTGAGAGTCCTTCAAAAGCTTCAGGTATTCTGGACTATGCTGACTTAGAGCAGCTTCATCAACAGACTTTTTGGGCTACAAAATGAAATATTCATAAAAATCAAAAGTTCACAGTAATTCAAAAGCAAGACTTGTCTGATACGAAATAAAGAATATAAATTAATATAAATATGAATATAATATTGATTTCAATGCTGAAATAACCAAAATCACTTTAATGAAATCACAAAAATGTGTGTGCACCTCTTAATTGTTTTTGTTTTAAAATTCCTTATTAAAATATGTCAAGTCAACCGGCATATAAATTCTTTGAATGTCACCAATGATTGAGCAATGAGTTTCTAAAATTAAACTGCCTCAATCTGATTTGCTGTCTTCCTCTGGGTGGAAATCAGGATATGAGAGAAAACCCAATAACTTTCAAGTCGGACACATTAAAGCCTTGGTAAGGATAGGCAACTCAGAACACTATAAAATTACCTTCACTGAACAAGACTGTCCCCCTTTTCTTATTTGCTAAGTTACCAATCATGCTCAAAAAATCTAAGGCAAGAATTTGAGCTTATTTTGACCAATCATGTTCCGAAGTTTAAGGCAAGAATTTGAGCTCATTTTGAAACAATCAGTAATATTTGTAATGGCTATAATTCCCCCTCCCAATCATGTTAATTAAGCTCAGGGAGATGGGGGATTTTGCATGTTGTCATGGTAACAGTGAGGCTCATCAGCTTTGTTGATTTGCCAATACTAAGATTCCAAGTTTTGTTGTCCTAGCAGCACTTAATATTCACCACTTTTTTTGTTTTAATGGAACAATTAATCTCCAGGAATATAAAAATGAGTATTCTGGACATGCATATAAATGGATTTTTTTCATACTGCAGTATGTCATTTTGACCTCAAATGACCTTCACCTTAAAAATTGGCCATGACCCCAGCTCAGGCAAAGATAAATCACTTATATATCCTTACATTTCTGAAATCCCAACATTAAGACAAAAAAATGTGGCATTTTGGCCAAAATTATATAACTCAGTCATGTTTTGGACATAATATGATATCAGCACTGCATTTCTTTCACCTACAGGGTCCTAAACAAATAGAAATTGATGATTAAACTGCAAATTAAATGCTACAAAATCATGCAACCACTAGGGGAGATATCCTACACTCCTACTCTAAGCACCTGTCTGAAAAACAAACAATACAAACAAACACTCATCAAAAGGATAAACATGAAAGTCATGCTGCACTATATGTTAGAACCCATTCAGAATAGAAGAACCGAGGCCGTCCTTGCAGGGGTCTAGCACATTAAATCTCTGAGCCGTGATTTAATCCTTTTAATGGCACGTGTGAAGGCAGGGAGACCATCAGCGGATTAATCAGTTCTTCTTTCATGTAGGGCCCACCATATTTGATCTGTTGCTCAGAAGATCCTCTGATCTTCTATTCTTAATGGGCTCTTAGTCTACTAGTACTAATATGCAAGCAAATACAGAAAATACTGCACAGTGGTGATAAGTAAGAAAACTGAGCAGGCTCACTTGCAGGCTATTCAAATATTTTCCACAGGTCACCAGAGCATACTCAAATGTATTAAATATCAAAACTAGCAGACACAGCAAGGTTTGACTTATTTAGTTAGGTAAAAAGTGAAAATCCAGTTTTGATTCAGGCCTATATTGATCATTATCATATGTACCAATATGTCCCCTTTTTTCACCCAATAACAGCTGGTTTCTTGTTCTACTTTGTTTTCTCGTGTATCATGTAAGTACCAGTAGCTTTTGAGGAATAAGTTCACTACTGAATCAGATTAAATATTCATATCGGAACATTAACATGTGGAGAAAATGTTAGAATAGCCTGTTCAAAATGCAAGAAAATTATATAAAATCTAAACAATCAGTGAGCAAGATGCCTACAGTACTATAATTTATCTTTTTTTTTTTTAATTTGCACAGGTAACAGTTTAAATACATGTATCCATTTAATACTGATCAATGGCAGCATCCATACTTACTTGGCAATACAATGACATATACAAGAACACATGTTGTTTTAAAACAGGTTAATGCTGAAGACCAGTTTTTTTTAATAAATAGGCAGCAAGGTGGAAATGTAAAAAGCTAAAACTAGGCTGACTTGGATAGAAACAAGACCAGCAGGGACAGCTAGGGTAAAAAGCAAGCTGTTAAAAAAAAACAGATGTGACAAGGCTAAGGCAGCATTACAAGGACTATCCGTTAATATTAATGTGAAGAACATGTAATAATCAATGAAAATAGGAAAATTTTATCGATTAGTTATGTTCTCACAAATTGGTCAAATTTTTGGTTAATTGGCCAAAACAAAGTGTGTTCTACAGTGACCTCTAGTGGGAACGTACATTATGAAACACAACATCATCATACAACGAACTGGAAAGCTCTCTTAACCCCTTAACATCCTGATCAGAGCAGGATTTAACATTAGCAACTAATTCTGGGTGATGCAGAGTTAAAATAGTGTCTTCACTTGCAGTCCGTGCCTGGAATCGAACGGGAAAACACGCCAGTTGATCAAGGTTGTGAAGTCAAGATCATCACCGGGTCAAATTAATCATATTACATTCACATATCAGTGATTCAGGATTCACTTTAATTGCTCAAGTGGCTAGTATGGGCCAGTACACTTGCAAGCTTACAATGTATGTAAATATGCTGAAAAAAAAATAGATAATACTCCTGTGGACATGCAGTGTGATGCCACTTAATTAACTCCAACTCATTTTTTGTACTCATGATGAAATTATCAATAGGAATTACAATAACACATTTTAGCTTAACTGAAAATGACATTTGAAGACATGTCAGCCATACTAACTTGTTATGTCATTTATCAAACAACTGCCATAAACACATAATCTAAATTCACCTGAATCTCGTTACAACTGACCATTTTCAAATTTGTTTATATTTATCTGAATAAAACAATAAACAGGCTTACAAATATGATGAAAGTAAAACCATACTGTTTAAATAAATGTTCAAAAATGATAGCTATACCATTACTGTAATTCTGGTCATTCAACCAGTGTACAAAAGAAATTTATGCCCTTCTCTGAATATTTATGCCCTACTGGGTCAGCATTTATGCCCTACTGGGTCTATACTTACCAATATGGGTACACATCTGGTGACCAGACCATACTGAAGACATCTTAAATAAGGCTCTGTTATCCTGTCAGGACATTCAGGGTGCAGGAGGTCCCACTCACACCTGTGCTGGGTCATGAAGTGATCATAGATCAACCCCGTACTATATGAAAAAGAGTTTGACACCGATAAAATATAAATTTAAAAAAAACAAAAAAAAAAACAAACATGTAATCATAAAATATACAGTAAAGTTGCCTTGTACATCTGATTCATTTCAGTTTTAAATTTTATCAATAAAATGGGTTTTAGGTAGTATTGTTTAATCAAAGATAAAATATTTATTTTGTATCATAACTATTTCCATTCAAGCCTGCAGCATATTTTTATACTCTTACTTATTAAAAATCAAAATATTAAAAAGGAAAGAAAAAAAAAAGTTGATAGTAGTTAGCTTGATTTTCTATCCTGACAAATTTTGAAATCTTGAAAATTAAAACCTGCACAGGAGTGGTAGATAGTGTACTTTTCAGCAATAATTCATAATTACTGAGAAGGAACAACTTGTAACAAGTAAAGTCTAATATTTATTTGAAAATTTAATCTTACCCCAGATTTGTTAATTTCATTGATTTCATGGACTGCAAATAAAGAAAGTTCAAAGAATTAATTATAAGTGAAAAACCATATAATTACACACAGAAAATTGTGTAAATAGCGTTCAGCTATAAAAGACAAACATGCTTTAAGTGTTATTTTCCCAATGACCCATAGCAATTATACATGTATGTTATTAACAATCAGTATCACCCCCACCCCCCCCTCCCCACCATACACACAAACCTCCTGAGCTAAATTTAAAATCAGTTATATTCAGAATACACTAATCAAGTGTATTAGAACTGCATGGACCAATTATAAAACTGGCAAAGATTACTAAGATAACATTAATTAGATTAATTTAGGAGCTTGGATGACACTTCATGTTTTCAAACATTCTTAAGTCACAGCTTCGGTCAATTCTGAACATGGCAAACATCATCAAGAAGTGTCAAAACAGCCATAACATACCAGGTCAGCCATCTTGTCCATGATCTGTATATTATCTTGGTGGGGGTGCTGGCGGGTGTCTCGTCCTCTTCTCTTCAGTTCTTCCAGTGTGGGTCCCTTGGACTGCTTGCCTTTCTTCTTACCCGTACTAGCCGATTTCTGGGATCAATAAATTAATGTTTGTAGCAATATGCGTGAAAAAGCGTGAAATGATCGCATCAGAATTGCGAACACTTCATTTATATGTTCATATAACCAATGGAAAAATCTGTCTACAGATAGCATGTGGTGTTTCTATTCTAATGAAAAAAAACAGCAACAATGAATTATGCAACATACAACAACATGTACCTGCATATGGTATGTATTTACCTAGTGCACACAAAACAGATGTACCCGGATCTTATCTGGAAAACCATCCCGCTATGACTTTTTACATGTATATATACATAATTTAAAAAACTGTGTTTTATGATGGCAAACATTTTAGTTATTCTGTAAATTTGAACATGTCAAAGACTTGGTTTTTGTAAAATTTACTGAAGTCAGGGGCAGACATAAAAATGGAAGAAGCTGCAACTAATAAAGTCTGTTCAAATCTGAAGAGGTGAAATTTCTCACATAACTTAGTGGGTATATCAGGTCTGAAGGCAGAAATTTCATATGGGGCTTCTTTTTCTGAAAAAGTGAACTTTTAAACCCATCAGTCAATCAAAATTGAAAAACTGCAAAGACTTGAGAAGCCTGTCGTACATATTAAATTTAATTCATAATTTGATAATTTAAAGCAGACCTTTTCCAGCTAAAAGGGTGGTTCTTTCAGGAAAAAAAAAGAGACAAAATGAAGAAGATTAATACGTAAAGCATTTCTTGCCCTAGCTGATACCCAGGTACATTGCAGAGATAGTCTTGATATATACTCAATCTTTTACAAAATGTCCTTGAATTCCTACCTTTGGTTTAACTGACTGTGTCTTAACATTGGATGGGGTCTCATCACTCTTTGTCTGAAACAAACCCAACAATATGCCATAAACTACACATAGCACTGTGCCTAGATTATAAAGTCATATTATAAACAAATTAATTTGCACAGTGAAAGTCTAATGGTACATTCACAACAAGTAGATCCGTGGCCTAATTATCAGATCCGAGGACCAAATACGGCAGATGCCCCTTGAAAGCTTGCTGCATAGTTCCATAATAGACACTGTACAGATTCCCCACTGGTAAGATTTCAAGTCGGTAGGCCATGCATGCTTGATCCACTGACCTGTTAGGCTGAGAATCAACTTCTGTTGTGAATGCTGCCTAAGTCTTCTATTGACTTCATAAATGAACCATATTAGTTGACATAATTCAGTGTCTATATGAACCAACTGCTCAGTTGCAGTGAATCAGGCAAACTTAACATCTTTACAGGCAACGAACTGCTACCTGTATGTCCATGTGTATTGTAGAGGGATACATAAAATACAATATAACAATTAAGAGAATTAAGAATTGTCAAGCAATATGAATCTGAAAGCAAAATTGAAAGTTATAATATTCCCATATATATCAGTATCAACCCTATATCAAACTAATCTGTCTAATCAGGTAAATTTGACAATAACAAGTAGGAACATGTTATCAGTACTGATCAGTGCATTACCTGTGGTGCAGGGGCTGGGGCATCCCCTACACCCCCCTCGCAGGAATTTGGTGATGGATTTTCAGTCTGCACTAGTCCTGTGGCCTTGGGATCAGAGCTCGCTGAATCTGGCTCTGATGCTGGAGATCCTTTGTTTATGATCGGTGGATCCATCTGAAACATATTTAAATGGGCAAATTATTTTAAGTCATAAGTGATTTTTGAATAGATCTTCCACTTGCACTGGCCCCCGAGACTAACTCTGCTGCCCCTTTGATCGGTTCATGAAGCTAAAAATCACATTTAATAAATTTATTGTTACCAATGGCAGTTTACTCTTTATGTTGCCTCATTTTTCTATCTTAGACATTCTAGACGTGCACAACATGCGTAAAACGAAAGGAACTCGCTTCACTTTGAGGCATCGCTACACAAACATGAAAATGCATCCAACTTCATTCGTGTGGAGAACAAGAAAAGTTGAACTTCTCATTGAAGTTATTTCTCATTAAAATTATTTTTCACAGTGGATAGTAACAAATATAAAATACCTTTATTGCAAAATATCTCCAACCGGCTTACAAAGTGCGGAGTATTACATGGCAGCAAATAATAAATGAAAACAGAGCGGCTTTTCCGCTCTGATAACGTGATTTCGTCGATACGTGGCGCGCAAGCAAAAAGGCAAGAGGCGAGCAAACAATAGTTACGGGTTTGACAAGTTTTAAAAGTTATAATGTATATGTTAACTTATCCTGCAAAGCTACTAATCTTTCCAAATTCAGACCTTAAAAACTATTAAACATCTTAAATAAAAGTACTAGACGTCAAAAGTTCCTTCAAAGTCAGGCCGCTTATAAAATAGTAAAAATACCGTAAACTGCATTAAACAGGGGCCGACGGATCCAGAATTATTGAAAGAGGGGTCCGCGGATGAGAAGCCGTCCCTTCCCCTCCCCCCCTCCCCTTGGCGTGGGTTTGGTATTTTAGAGGGCGAATGGTGCCATTTGGTACAGTTTAGAATTATGATTCAGCTAGTCAAAATAAAAATTTCAAGAGGGGACCATTGATGTGATTTTTTTTTTCAGAAATTGAAGGGGGGGGGGGTCAGGACCCCCCTGATGCCCCCTCTAAATCCGCCACTGATTAAATATGCTGTACTGCCTATCATTCTCCTCACGGCTATTTGAGAACGTAACATTGGATAGCAAACCATATTTTTTATCATTATTATTATATTTTCTAAAGTAAAAAAGTAAATTGGAATGAAACATAACGCAATGCATGGTTTAATCTTAAAATATAAGAGGGGGAGGGGAAGGAGAGAGCATTTACATAAATTGCAATACTATTTTTTCTTATTTTTCCCAAAGCAGCGTTCTTTATTATACAGTGGCGGATTTAGAGAGGGGGGGGGGGAGGGGGGTTCCTGACCCCTCCCCCCCTTCGGTTTCTGAAAAATACATCGCACCAATATTCCCCTTTTGAAATTAGAATTTTGAAATTTTAGTTCTAAACCGTAGGCCTACAAAAGGGCACTGTTTGCTGTCCAAAACACAAAAAAATAAAAATATTTCGGGGCCCTTCAGCAGGCCACGAACCCCACGCCAAGGGAGCAATAGTCGGCTTCGCATCCGAGGCCTGTCGATCCGCCCCCCCCCTCAAATAATCCTGGATCCGCCCCTGATTATATGAAGTGCAACTTCTAGATTAACAAAAACCATCATGTGTTTGGGAGGAATATGAAAAAATCGATCATCGAACTTGATTTTTCGTCGACAGCCTCTTAAATTGTCTTAGATTTACGACAAGGAGGGCATGTTCTGTCGTCTGCGGGCGCGGTGCCTTGCGCAAAGGGTGATCAATGACAGGCAATCTTACTCAAGATCGTCGTTCAAAGAAAGGGATTAAAATAAGGCGCATTATATCAGAAAAACATTTTTCTCTGCAAGCAGTAAAATGTAAACGGAAGACTGTACATTTATAAACGGTGATCAGGCTCAATCCACGCATAAGATCAGCAAATAAATCGAGTAAATCTTCATCCAAAAATGGAAACGGCAGTCCTTCTTAATCCAGATTCTAATTCATTGGAAACTCGTCCAAATATTGGTACGTTTACTTGTATGAATTTGGTTTCTTTCCTGGACTGTGGCACGTGCATGCGTGCGCACGCACGTGCCTGGCCCATAAATGAAATGCAGTAAAAAAGAAAAAAACATGGATACAACGAATAACCATATCTCATTTTTTGGATATAGTTTATTTTATATTTTAACCTTATAACAAATCTGGTGAATTAAATTGGTTAATAAAACCAACAGAATAAGTTTCAGCAAAGACAGTGAACACAAATGAATTCACATTACGAACCCATATAACTTTGTAATTTTAGTGGAGGTATTACATATGTATGGTATAGACTATGGACTAGATATCACAAAACATATGGAATAACGTTTTAAAACTTGGGTAGAAAAATAATGGTAAAATAATCCTCCTATATACCAAGGAAGTTACAAAATATACACAATGAATCTGATTAATGGCTAACTTTGGAAAGGTAAAAAGATTTCTTTTAATTGCAATGTGCATGTATTGCGATGTGTAATAAATGTAGATGTGTATTTTCCTACAAAACCATGTAGCAACAAAATTGACAAACAATTCATTTTAAAGTGATAGAGTTATCTACAGCAACTACTACAAAGGTATCGTTTATAATACAACACATCGTTTCAGACATCACAGACCACACAGAATTCTTATATGAGCATTAAAATGTGACCAGAAATTTGTTATTACACACTGAAAATTCCTGGCGCAACTGACATCTTTGTTCAGTTTCAGAAGACAGTATCCACAAGCTCAATCTTTTCCATTTGAATTCATAATAACGGGGTAAACACAATTTGAGCAGTCTCATAGACATAATAACTAATCTTTTTTGTGCTCTTTCATAATTTTTTGAGGTCCTTCTTTCATGAGAAAGGTAAAATAAAGTCTTGAGATTGCTAATTGGGATGAAGATCGTCTCTTAGCATATAACAATTTTCACAAATTGAACTTTTTTTTTTATATTTTAACAAACAACAATCAAATGAAATATTTACAAGGCCATGATCTTGACATCCGAAAATTAAGGCAACTATATTCTGTTATTTAGCACATAATACATAAATTTTAATTTTATTTTATAATCTGTGAGAAATAAAAATAATTTAAAAATGATTTAATATCATTCAAAAATGATAAAATCACAGAAAAATGGAAGACAATGTAAAATATGCAAGGGTATAATTATTTTTCTCTCTCCTCCTTTCTTCATATTTCTGTCATCAAAACATTTAAAAGAAATCACTCAACATTTCATAAAAGAGTGTGTGTTTTCTTTGCATGGGATTCATACATAAGTTATAAATGCTTTCTGTGCTCAGCTAAATAATTATTGCTTCTCTGTCCCCGTGCCTCCTAAACTGGTCATGGGAAAATAATTCTGTGCTTAATCCCTAGATGGCAGCACTGTTTACAACTAATGATAGGACCTACAATATTGTCTGTGCAGTCTGAACTACTGATAACACAGTGGCTTTCATGCCTCCAAAAACATCTTTGATTTGTCAACATTTACAAGGTGTTATGCTAAAGAAAATGTTACTTTTTATAAATAATAATCTCTAGTACAATACAAAAGAGATAGTAGTCTGTTTACGTACAAGTATATACAATTACCGGAATTAAAACAAGGCAGCATGTTTGTACATAAAAATGAGACACTGAGGTTAGGAGAGATTTATACATTATCTATGTACAACAACTGGGAATGGGGAGGGGGTCTGTTTATAATGTACAAATGTTACCATGCCTCCGCTATGAAAAAACACTGTCTTTCTCCTTGTTTAAAACAAATGACTTATAATGAATTATAAATCTCATTACTCATTACTCATTGCTCATTACTCCATGTGGTGTGATCTTGTCATAAAACCTGTTCTGTTTTCAGCTAAAGAGCAGGTGGCAAACTCTGCACTGCTTGTGGGGGCTGTGGTTTGATGTTGTGTTTCTTCATGTACGAGATAAACTGGTCTGGGATTTCTTCCAACACTTCCTTGGCAAGCTGTGCCTTGCTAATGCCCATGTCAGAGTTGGAACGGATGAAATCTCTGAATGGCACGAACTGATGAAATGAGAAATTCGAAACATTATTATTTGCAAACATTTAAACTTATTTGTACTGTATGACAATACTAAAAGTTGGTCAAGCTTACAGATGAGTTGGTATAATACCAAATATCAGTAAAACTGAGCATTCATAACAGACAGACTTTTTAACAAGTGTGCTTGCTTTAACATTTATACATTTTTTTTTTTTGCAAATGTCATGGATACACAATCACAACTTAAAATACTACCCCTGACTGAACTGCCATGTACCAATCAGAACATGTCTTATTTGCAAAACATTTACCGCATTTTATCAGTCTTACCTGTACAATATCTCTCTCAGCATACCTTCCTCTTGAAGACACCCTGATATCATCTCCATCCAACTCCACCATAGCTGAAATACAAAAGATTTCCTTTATTCCCCTGTGTAATAACAAGACTTGGCAAACACTCAAACTATTCTGACATAAATATATGTGAATATTGAATATGATAGTGTTCCTAATCCATGAAAACAACAACATATTATTACATAAAATATATAAACAACATACAGAGAAATGACTGTGAAGTATTTAGGATGGTAAATAGCTGAGATAACCGCCAGTTTGCCTACATGAACCACAATATTTGGAACAAGTCAATCACCCGCATTAACACTATTATAAAAACTCAATACAACTTGGACTCTTACCATCAAAATCAGCTTCTCCTATTCCTACTATGATAATAGACATGGGCAAGGATGCAGCCTGAAAAGATCCATACACATTTGTAACAGTTACAATTTTAAAATTAGAATTATATTTCAGCTTACTTGTAATTATCTTTAACTTGTCAATGACAAAATTAACATGAACTGAAATGCGATTTGAGAATTTCATGAAATATCATGTTCAATCTGCAATTACAAACTTTTTCTTGGTCAAGAATACATGTATTAATCAGAATAAAGATATAGCAATGTAGGCTATAAATAAAGTAATTTGGTGGTATTCTGATAAGAACTGATGTGTGCCACTTTTAACAGAGCCTTATTACTGGAGGCAAAAACACATGGGAGCACATTCTATAAGTCCTACTACAAACACTTACATTTACTATGGCTTCTTTGGTCTGAGGCATATCCGTGATAATTCCATCAGTTAATATCAACAAAATAAAATAATCTGTTCCATTCCGCCTGGCAGATGCAAACCTTGAGGAAAAAAGGATTAAGTGGGAAATTCATTTTTATTTGTAGTTTCTATAAATTAAGCTACCTCTGGCCACCAAGTATTATTTTCCATACCAATCAACATAATATTCAAAAGAAATTCTTCAAAGACTATGTAAAACTGGGTAACAGTATAATTTTTTTCTCAAATTTTCTACTTCCATTTTTAAAAGGCAAAAGCAATGGTTATAATATTCTTTCAAAGTGAGCACTGGAAATTGTTAGTAATGCATACCTGGCCACATGGTTGATAACAGGAGCAAAGTTTGTGGGCCCATAAAGCTGAACTTTCTGTAAAGCATTGGAATATGCCTGCATCACTCCTTGTAAGCCAGCACAGTAAGGATCCGTGGGGTGCATGTTCTGGACGGGAAATAAATACAATATAAATATTGATTATACCTTACCTGCCAGTAAATACTGGCAAAAATTTACAGATGTGTGCGTGTGCATGTGTGTGTGTACTCTATAGAGCTCTATCAACCACAGATGTGTGTGTGTGTGTGTGTGTGTGTGTGTGTGTGTGTGTGTGTGTGTGTGTGAAAATGACACTCGAACTTTACACTAGACTACGATATGACCATGTAATTAAGAAATTTTACCATAAAAATGACAGAAGTGGGATATAAAACAACTGTTACAGAAAGTGATTGAATTATGAAGATAACCATTATACATCCAGAATACGAGTATATAATACAAAACTATATGTTAAAATCTATTTCTGGATTTAACAATATCTCTCATTTTTTAATACATTATTAACATGACAATGGCCAAGTTTATAAATATTCTATTGCCATGTCAATCATTCCTCCAGTAGAACATCTCTCACGAGTTAAAGTAAAAACATATCTGCCTTTTCAAACCTTATGTTTAATTTGTAGGTATAATTCATAATCTAAAAATTCCTTCATATTGTCACATTAGAAAGGCTCTTCACACTTCAACTCTCATGAGTCATGCTTGCAGATATCAATGTTTCCTTGAGTGTGCATAACATTTAATAATTTCTTACCACAAAGAATTCATGTGAAATTCTCCCATCAGGCGGCAGACGTGCCCCAAACCCCAGCACTGGGAACAACTTATCACTGGAAAAAAACCACAAATTATCATCAAAATTACAAAACGGCACATATTTGACCCTCAGACTAGTTAGCCCCCTATTCTGAATGGGGCCATAGTCTTCTATAATTTTTATAAAAATACCGAGTTTTGTCCAAAACCAGGTGTCCTTTTACTTCAGACTTACGAGTCACAGTTCCCTAAAATTTCTGTAAAAATACTGAAATTTGTCCAAAACCAGGTGCCCTTTTACTTCAGATTTACGAGTCCTAGTCTTCTATAATTTCTATAAAAATACTGAAATTTGTCCAAAACCAGGTACCAGGTGTCCTTTTAGTTCAGACTTACGAGTCATAGTCTTCTATAATTTCGCCCACTGCCTGTAGAGCCATGGCATACTGTGTAGGCTGATATGGGTTGATATAGTGAAGAGAGGTCGGAGTCCTGGGGTCCCCATTGGATGCAGTGAAGTCTATGGCTATAGTGCACTGGAGCTGGGTGCTGGAAGAGTAATGAAAGCTTATCTTATATAGGGTTTAATTAAGGATATTGTCACCCTACACCCCAAAACTTCTTATTTACTGCCTTACATACAGTCTTCCGGTAAAAGTAAATCTTCAGTTTTCCAAAAAAATTTTAATGTTTTTTTTTTTAAAACCCTTTTTTGCGAAAACATTTTTAAAACATTGTTAAAATGTTTTTCTAAAACGTTTTTTGGAAACGTTTTAAAAATGTTTTTCTAAAAAGGTACTTGAAAAAATTTAAAAAATGTTTTAAATATGTTTTTAAAAATGTTATTCTAAAACATTTTTTTGAAAACATTTTTAGAACGTTGTTAAAATGTTTTCCATAAAATATTTTAGAAGAACATTTTTGAAACGTTTTAAAAACGTTTTTCTTAAATGTTATAGGAAAACATTTTTTAAATGTTTTTCCAAAATGTTATTTTAAAACATTTTTAAAAATTTACCTTGAAAAATAAAAATAACATTTTAAAATTTTTTCGAAAACGTTTTTTCGAAAACATTTTTAGAGCGTTGTTAAAATGTTTTCCAGACCTCTACAGAATTTTCTAGTAGCTGGCACATCCAGAATTTCGAACAACTGCTAATTCAACTCATCATCTGAACTAAAGTCTATCCTAAGAAGGACTCCTTTTGCTTACCCTCCTTTAATGTAGTCTAAAAATGTTGGAACTTGTACAACTCTGCAGCTCTCTACAGTGATCTGGAGATAAAACAAATGTCATTTATGTGCTGGACACTAAAAACATACATGTTCATAGTTTTAGAGTACTTTTTACAACTAATGTTTCCATCAGACATGACTATATTGTTGTTACATTACTGAATGACTAAACAGTGAAAAAATATGCTGCAGGAAATAAAATTCAACAATAAAATTTGCATTTATAAATTTGTTTAACAGCACATGGCAGGTCCTCACTTACCACTCCAGAATTTTTATACTTGGCTCCCTTTTTGGCCTTCTTCTTTGGATTAATACACTGAAGAAAATAAAGTTTTACACAGGTTTAGCAATACATCTTAGTGGAGGCAGGGAGACCATCAGTACATCAGTTAACTCTACTCTAATGTGGGTCAGCCATATTTGATTCTTGGATCTGTTAGTCAGCAGATCAACCTGTTCTGCATGTCCTCTTATTTGTGTACATACTATTTTTGGATTTATCTAAATAACATGAGCAAATGGAATAAAATAACAATTTCACTTCATTGTGCCAGACACTAAAGCTCAGGGTTACAAAAAACTTCAGTGAATCATTGCAGCTATCAATATCAGCAGAAAATACTACCTCAAATTCATTTTGTCCACATTTTCCCTTGGAGAGCTCCCTCAGTGTTGTAAAAAATTCACCTATCAGGTCATGCCTAAAATAAGGTGAAAAAAACAAACTAGAACAACTATTTCTGAATTTCAATCAAATCCACATATAATACAACTGTTAAACAAGACAGCAAAGCTGTCAAATGTAAAGACAAAAAGCAGAAAATAATGACACCAGGCATAACAGAGAGTTTCGACAGGACCTTGAATGCATATGTGTGATGTACATTCACACCCAACACAATGGCACACCTAACACAATGTGATGTAAAACTTTCATCTTACCCTCCGTCTCTATCCCAGTCATAACATTCCACTTTGATACTCCTGGAAAGAAACAAACCATGCACAATTTTCACTTAGTTTCAATTAATGCTTAAATATATCTAATGAGTATATGCTACACAGAGTATGTTTTACATTATACGATAATAACTGTCCGTGTAACATCTGTTTTGAAAATATTTTGCAAAACAAACATTGATGTATTATTTGCTCCAAATCAATCTCCTTATGCTTCGTTGATGGCGTTTGATGTACTGCTCTAACTACCAGTAGTGTCTACTGAATACATTAGCTGACCCAACTTATTTTGATTACAGTACTTGAACATTTTGACCTGCATATAACCTTGACCTTTACATAACTTTGACCTACATATATGACCCCAGCTGACCTATATACCATACCTGTCATAGTCTCCATTGCACAGTGACCTCACAGGAATGGTGAAGACATTCCAGTTTGGGTTCAGTGTGTTTTTGATGACTTCTGTTTTGTGCACCACAGTGAAACTGAAAACATAAAAACCTTCAAACTTTAAAACAAAGTCCAACTTTAGTGCCCTTTAAACATAAATGGATTTGTAATGTCTCATTTTATAAGGAGCAAAATCAAGTCAAATACCAATAACGTTGATGACATAAAAAGTTAAAAAGAAAAACAAAACATCTGGGTTAATTCCATAATAGCTGATAATTACTGTTCTTCCATTCTGAGAATTATCCTTTGACACAATTACACAAGAAGTTGCAGAAGGGAGTGAAATCCCTTGAACAAAATTATAAGTAGGACCTGTCAAAGTTGACCTGTCCAGTTGATGTTTGTACACAACCTGATGAATATAGAGCCTGAATGTGAAGGTGTGTATGTGTGTGAGTGCATGCTTGAGACCCTTTTTTTACGCCTCTTACCTCCCATCTTCATTACTCCTGTAGAACACAAGGAAGGGATCTGACTTGCCAAAGAAGTCCTTCTTATCCAGCTTTCTACCAAAAAACTGCATGGTCGCTTCCTCCTATAAAAACGTTCAAACACTGTTCACACATAACGAACATTACAGACAGAACACGACTAGTTAGAAAGATGTGCACAGGAGGTTCACTCTCTACCCCCTTCCAAAAAATAAATAAATAAATAAATAATAATAATAAAATACAAAATTTAATACATAAATAAAGACCAAATCGACATATATTCATTGACATATATTTTGTGACGTGTACTTTGCTAATGTCCAAAAGCGATTAATTGCAAAATGAGAAAATATTTTTTTCAGCTACATTAATAGATCTCAAAATATAGGTCAACTGTTCTCTGTCATGTGAGTTAGAAAATTAATGTTCTAGATGCAAAACAGAAAAACTTTACTTTTGATCTTATAGACAGTTAGAAAGCAGATTGTATGGAACCATGTTATTTTAAAGCGATGGAAATTAGGGTTTTGATTTCACACAAAGGCATGTTTTTATGTTACAGATAGTCATGGTGAAAGCGTAGATCTTTTTGGTGACTTTAAGCTGACACTGGAATTTACAGAGCTATCACTCAAAAGTGAAAGAAATAGAAAGTAACCTAACAGAAAGCATGAAGCACTGCATCTACAAGTTCCAGTTTTTTAATGTTACTCACGACTTATTTCTATGCAGAGCAAGCAGATGTTTCTATTTCCAAAGACAACATGCTCGACAGAAAAGGATGAAATACATAAACCATTACCTATAAGATGTAAAACATTAAGCACACTACACTACATTAGATAGTTTGCTTCTATCCTGAGGATGCTTATACAGGCACATTTAAGTAAAACAGAAGGGTACATTAAAGTAAGACAGAAGTTTTCTGTACATGCACACATGAGGTTCAGTAAAATAAGACAGCAGGGTAGATCAAAGTAAGACATGTTTTCTACAGAGAACTATGGAAAAGGTAACAGACTGAATATCAACAGAATGTCGTGATAGTAACCACTAATGCCAATATGTGTGTGTGCGTGTATCTGTGCGTGTGCGTGTTAATAAATGGCATCTTCATCACAAATGACATACTAAAACCCACTCAAACTTTGGGAAGTTTAGAAACTAACCCCTCCATTTTAGGAATAACAATAATACATACCATACAGATGGAAATTTTGCTTAACATTTAATTTTACTATGATATTAATGTTAAATGTGTGTAAACGAGAAACAAGTTCAGACCAACATGGTGGAAGATCCAAGTAAACCCAACAGTGCCCACACAGAAGGTTTGAAAGTGCAGCTAAATAAAGGTTATTTTTGTGGCTACATCTTTTTATCCGAAGAGCACAGAGCAGCAGTGACATCTATAGTCAAAATTGGAATTTGTCCCTGTTTGAAGTAAGGACTTCCCACCAGCTTCACCGTTTTTGTGACAGTATATGAAGAGCAGTTAATGAAAATAAAAGCTTGAACACCTTGAATTTTACTTAAAACTTCAAGGTGTTAGAGCAGTTAATGAAAATAAAAGCTTGAACACCTTGAATTTTACTTAAAACTTCAAGCAATAGAAAATAATTTTAAAAAACTAATTTGCATTCAATTTCATAAAAAAGTAGAACTCAAACGAGAAAACAAACTGCATTTTCTTCAACATTTTGAAATAGTTCCATTTTCAAATGGCCAACGAAATTCAGCTTCATTTCATAAAAGCCAAACACCCTAAGTGGCAGCCAAGCAAAACCATTCTCCCATCACTGAGCAACCTAGATGTCATCACCACTCTAAACATCTCTCCATGTATATACCTTGCTTGTAACCAGTTCCTCAATAGACACTACAATTTACAAAGATCAGCAATAAATGCACAGACATATCTTTCTATTATTTATAACATATCATAGCATATGGCATCTAATGGGCCCACCCAAGCACTTGCAGTGATCAGCCATATGACTTCTTATTTCAGGTCATGCCAATTTGTAAGCGAATGTATTATTTTGATAGCCAGCATACACAATCAAAACCATATGCTTTATGCACAAGATAATTATTATGTTTTCAATAATAAAATTAATTTCATAATTTTAAAATTGGCTAAACTGTAATAAAGCAGAGTGAGCCCATTAGCACAGCCAAGGTCAAGAAGATGTGAATCTCGGGCTCATGCTAACACATATGAAAGATGCCAATACATTTTGCATACATTTTGGTTGAAGACTTGAAAAATGGTCAAAACAAATAAACCATGAATTTTGAATTGCCTGAAATATCTCAGCCTTTGGACTGAAAAAGATGCTAGTGTGAGCCCAGGATTCAAATTTTGTAATCAGAGATTTGATTACCTTACAACTAGTCATTTCATCTGCTGTCACTGCTTCAATGAAAGGGAAAGGAAAAAATAATAATTGTAAAACTTTTAGATCATCAGGAGACTACAGGATCATGCAAAAGAGTGATATAAACATCAATAACTGAAATAATTCACTTTAGGCAAAGGGATTGTTAACTAATCACAAAGGATTTTGGTCAATTTGGTTTAAAAACAGATCTTGAAAATAACTGTTTAAATAACCAAAAATTCACATTTATGATACTATTTAAGTATTGTATAAAAATTGGGAAAAGTTATGACAGCAGATCAAAATTTTAATTAAATTAAATTAACATTACATTTGAAACTTATTGAAACCAAACTGAGTATCTTAAGTTAGACTTAATTTTATAAATTTAAAATCAATTAATTGACATATTTCAATACGCACCTATTATGGCTCCCTTCTTAATGTTTTGTCCCCTGAAATAAGATATCAAAATTTATATTCATTATGAATTTCAATAGTTTAACATACTGTGTGAAAAATGACCACCAGTTGTCAACGATTCTCATTATATAAAATGAACATTTTTTTTCTTATTTTTGCATAAAATAATTTTCTGCCTGCATATGTCCAGAACATCAGCAAGTGACAATGATCAATTCAGTTTGTTGTAATCCATAAAATAATGACTATGACATTATCAACAAGGTAAGAGCAAGTGCTCTATATGTCTTATGACTACAGCAACACTCGGCATCAGTAACATCTATGACGTGTTTTATATATCTACTGTTTGTGCTCTTTCTGGGTACTATACATACGTCAATGGTTTCTGCAGCCTGCCTGCACTGACAACCTCGCCCAGACTACACTCCATACGTCCCAGGAAATCCTGTAACATCAAACATAACTTCTAGTATAACAAGTTTGATATCTGTCCTTTTTTTCATTGCCCATGAGAAGTTGTCAAATTTCTGACATTGTTCTCTACTTCAGGATTTTTTCCTCTTTCTCCCTTTTACTACTAAGTTGTAAAATTTTGCTTCCCAAAGAGACTATAATATTGGTACTGTAAAGTAACTACCTTAAAAATACTAAAAAAAATTACTAATTTTAAATTTTTTTACTTACATGTTTGCTGAGGTCTGCACTCTTTGAGTCTACATCAAACCTAAATGAAATAAGTTATTTTAAATAAGAACACTCCTTCAGGATGTCAGCCTCTATGCATTCAATATAACAAAATGTTTACAGTGATAATTCAGAAAACCAGCAAGTTGAATTATCAGGATGATGAATTCTAAAATCTTGCAGGTCAGAGGAATGGGATGACTGCATTATCAGAGCTACATAGATTCATATCTATTGCCTTATTTCTTGAAACTGATTGAAAATCAACAACTAATATTTTCTATTTTATGTACAGATAGCCTCAAGTATTTTACATCAAACTCTTTGAATGAAAAGGAATAAAATGATGAACACTAAATTCCCCAAAAAACAAATTAGGGTACAGTTATTAATCATTATACATTTCCTTTCACACGCAATGTCAACTTCATTTTATTTATTCATTTAAAAAAATTTTCTACATCTTTTTTCAAACTTTAAAATTCTGTGTATTCTTTAAGCCATTTTCAGCCTGCAAAAATGATCCTGAATTTATAAAACTTCTCACTTTTCAATGATAAATCTAACTTACACCTCAAATCTTAACATCTGCCTCTCTTCAAAGAAGTAATGCATTGTGAACTTCTTGACAAAATCTGGATTGAGGTTGTTCCATATGACCTCTGTACGACCCAACTGGAAAGAATAAAACTAAAGTTAGTTTTAAATAAAAAAGGCCTTGGTTGACATAAAACAGTGTATTATCTTATACACTTTGCATGGTGTTTGAAGTACAAAAACAAATATAAGCATATCATTTAATAATCAATTAAGTCAATGCAACACAGAATACACTGTAGCATAACTGATTTCATTTTCTTTTTGTACACAAATAAACTTAATGTCTTGAAAAATGGAAGTTATTCTCAACTTTAATTCAGATTTTTTAAAACCCCAATAACCTTACCTCTCTATATCTCTCAGATCCACGATCTTTGACATATAAAACACATACTGGAAAAGAAAGAAAAAAGTTTTTAACAAGAAGTACCTCCACCTTTTGGCAATGTAATTAACTACCAAGAGAGTGAAAAGTCGTGTGTATCTCTCTTATCTCCTAGGACTCTTGTAACCATTGTATTGGACAAATCATGTTTATGAAATTACTGCTTAATTTATCTCCAGACTTATAGTTGAATTCATTGAAGACCTTCATTTAAGAAAAATTTTTTTCGTACTTACAAGGGTCTGACTTTGAAAAAACATCCATATCATGTAAATTCCTGAAAAAAAAAGCAATCTAGTTAAACATTTTTTGACTCTTTGACTCTTTGGTTAAGTTATTACTGTCTTCTTTACATATGCTATGTTATTGGAGCATCTTTACACACAATGTGCACAAACATGTTAGCACACATGTACACACATAAACACACACACATACACAGTGGTACAAATGCTCAATCATACAACTATGCACTATGAGATATATCTAATACATAAATCATTTATGTAATGTGTTCTTTGAATTTGGGATTCAGATTCGATCAGCAAAAGATATTACTATGTTAGTATTTTGTCAGATAAGTATTGCCTTTACCACACACATATATTGGTCTTATGACAGAGAAGTCATTTAGCTTTCATGAGAGGAAGAGAATCTGAGTTTACAATTTTTTAGTGTCAGAACTTAAATTCTTAATAAATACGTAGAAGTCATTATAGGTGTCAATATCCGATTACAAATACACCACTCACTAGGGTATGACTAATAGTAATAGAAATACAAAACGACAAAATTTCCAGTTAGGCATTGCGAAATCTCGTCATTGCGTCGGTAATCGAGTTTGTTGCTCAACTTCTTGCCAAAATATTCTTGTCTTTTACAAAGGCTTCCTACAAGAATACTAATCACAAACTTTATAAAATTGGCTTTCCTGTTAAATTTTCTCAAGCATCATTTCATATGAAATTCGTCTGCTCGCGCGTAAATTGGGTTTAACTTGTTTATATGTCTAATTTAACTAGGTCAAACTACATCTGCATAATGCAATATCGATATTTCGTTCCTTTTCGATCTAAAATATGATAGAAGTTAACCAAACCTTTCTCAAATGCTCAATTTATGTGACTAATATAAGAACTTGCCTGCAAGAAACTGAAATTTCGACTAAAGTGGCCGGAATCGCCCCGGCCCCTGGTTGAAACATGCTAGCCATCGGAGTTCTGTTTTCGCAATGATCTCTGGGAAGGCAGGTGCCCTACTTTTAAAACCGAGAAGGTCAAATCCGGGTCAAACTGGGATTGACTGGCCAACATGAATAATTAATGAACAGAATCTTTTTGGGAATTTCCCTGTTGCATAATTAATCAATAAAGTCTTGCTACACGATTAGATTCCTCTTAATCTATTTGAATAAAACGCCCATCCCAAGTTTTTGCAACATACGCCGACTTCCTGCCTCAATACGCATGCGTTACAATCGCCGCGTTGAAGTCGACCACATGTCGGTGGGGAGTTGACAAGCAAAGACAAAAGTGCACGTCTTTCTCCAACCAGGAGTTCAGCACCGGTGAAGCTATTTTCCGTAGTTATGACTCTCGGACTTTAGTTACCACAAACCAGAGAGCATGGGTATTTCTAGCTTGCATGAATTTATTGAGGCGAGCTGTAAGGAGGCCTGCGTCCCAGTGGATCTTCTGCAAATTGCACGAGGATATAGCCGGGGAAATGCGGCAGGGCGCTTTCGCCTTGTGATTGACGCTGAGAGCTGCCTTGACCGTCTTTATGGCGGCTTTTACTCTGACTGGGCTTGTGGAGGGGAGTGGAACCGCATGGTCCACTTCCTGACCAATTTAACAGAGGCCTGCCGCGGTGCCAACTTGGAGTTGGTCGTGTTTTTCAGTGGCGCTTTGGAAAAAGAGAAAATGAGAGACTGGGAAAAAGAGCAAACGGAGAAACGAAAGCGTGCCAACTTGGTGCTTAAGCACGTCTTTAATAAAGCCACACCGCCCCCTAAAGTTTGGTGGCTGCCCCCAGTGTGCCTGCGCCCATGCCTGCGTATGGCTTTACGACACATGGGCGTACAGGTGGCATGCTCTATGGACGATCACCATCAAGAAGTGATCGCGTATTGCCGAGAGAACGACTTTCAGGGTATCTTGGCCCAAGATGCAGTCTATACCATATTTGATCCTCCACGCTACTTTTCTTCTGAGCACTTGAAGCTGACCTACAAAGGGACATTAGAGACACGAGAATATTTTGTAAATGCTGTGGCAAAAGCGCTGGATCTCAATCCAACAAGGTTCTGTGTATTTGCTGCTCTGCTAGGTATTAGACTTTTGTAGGTTCTTTATGAAATCAGTACATGACTGGTTATTTTTTTCCTTGATCAACTTGAGAAGGCTGGAATATTGAGTTTTACTGTGTTTTTAAGCTCAAATATTTGTTCTATGAAAAAGGGGTGTGGCCTTGTAACCAACCCTTTTACAGCATGCATGTGCACACACATGCATGCACGTGCACAGTCAGTCTTTACGAAATTTAAATCATTAAACTGATGCTCTTACTTTTTAAAAATCTATAGAGAATCTTTTCTTTTTTGTACCACAACTTTGTTCACTCTGATGACAGTAGGTGGCATCATGCTTGTTGTTGTTGTTGTTGTTGTTATTATTATTATTATTATTATTATTATTATTATTATTATTATTATTCATGTTTTTGCAATAAAATTCCCATGCACAAACATTGTTTAAAATTTTTTAAGTAATTCACAAATTCAAGGCAACTGATGCAGTAAATTACGCATATCTTTTGTAGATAAATGAAATTTGCAGTTAATATTTTGTCTTCATTTTGTATCTAAATCTGTATTTTTTCTAAGGTGATCACATTCTTCCTGAGGATGATCTACGTCCATTTTTTCGAGAATTACTAACAGTAAATGAGCCAGGTGTAGTAAAGGTAGGTTGGAATGATCTAGTTTATTATTATATAATGTAATATTATAATAATGTGATATTAGTAAGAAATGAATGTACCCCTACCCCTTATAAAAAAGCCAAAAATTTAACAAGTGTCAGATATTTATTCAATGAATGAGTTAATTTGGCACTGATTTACAATCTACGTGCATTTTTTCTCCATTTTTAAATTAAATTATTTATTTTTTTTTTGGGGGGGGGATGTTAAATTTATTAAAGAAACTTAAAGATATGCAATAATATCATAAGTGTTATCCGCTGCCTGGTGAAATACGTCCTCTCTCTGCAGAAGTCACTATATGCTTCCTTGAAAACTAACAGCTTTGTTATAGGTTTGCAATGAATAATTGAAATGTTTAATATCATGTTTAACTATTTATGTTTCAGGCACAGCCAACCAAACAGCTGATTCTAGAAGTAGCATCATTTGTCCGCGAGCTTGTTTCCATTGATGATCTAGATGCCATTGGAAGAATTATATTTAGGTGAACTTTATTTATATGGTAAAGTGAATATTAAGTGTCAGCCAAGAATTTCATCTGTTGTTAAAAAAGGCAGTCATTTTTCTTAATTGACAGCAATAATGAAATTGTCATTTACTTTCCATATTTACTGAGGAAAATGCTGGAGATAGACATTGAATAGATTTTTGGGGTTTTTAAGCTGAGGAGTATAAAATTGTATATATTTCATATATATTATAATATTTCCTTATTTTTCCTTCTTCAAATTGGACATTTTCTTTGATTAGAACATGCTTTTGTTTTAATACATTTTTTAACAGAAAACCAAAATTTAATGAAAGTTTTATGTGGTACAATTTTCACCTTCCAGAAATTGCCCAGAAGCAATAGAAGAAAAGATTGGCCGCTTTAAACAATCTGTACAGTATTACCTTAATGGAACAGAAGATGGTTTCCTTAAATACAGACCCAAACTTCAAGGTATGTATCATTCATGTGGCAAAGAAAAAGTCTTGGTAGGACTAGGAATCAAGATTGGAAGTAATACAGATCATGTAATACAGATCTAAGTCCATACTGGTAGAATATATGACAGTTGACAACAAGTAGTTCTCAGTTAAGACATTCAACTTGCACATGTTGGCCTGGTCTGAGAATGTTCTGAGCTTTTTTTTTCAGCATGCCTGAGGTATCTGCGTTTTAGAGATGAAAGATTTATCTACATATCGAGATATTTAAGCATCGGTTTATTTCCGCCTCCCCTGGACCCATCATATAGAGATGTGCACCATTGGTTCATGCATTAGTTATTTATTTTTAATTTTTTTTTATTATTACCTTTTTTTTTTGTTTTTGTTTTTGTTTTTTAAGGATCAGTTTTATCTGAAACAGTTACATTTCAGAAAATGATAAATCAAATCCGAAGCTCTTTTGAAAACTAAGAAAAAAATATAATGGCCATGCTGGACCACTAAAATCACACATTCTGAAAAATCTACTGTTTCAAACAAAACTTTACTGGTTGTGTGCATAGGACCAATGGCTAATGTTACAGATTGTTTTACGAATGCTGTCTAATACCTCTCAGGGTTGACGTCAGGCCAGCCTGGTAGATACCCCAAACAGCAGGCCAGTGGAGACATAGGGCAGGAGACAGGGAAACAAGAACAGAAACCTGATACGGTGATCCAACAGGAGTCTGAGGCTTCTGCTGAGACTGGAAACACTGCACAGAAAACGGTAACATGGCCTTGATGCGTTGTTGTGGCAAATATGTTAAGTAGTACATATTGAATGGCTGAAACTTTGTTGAATTTAGTTATATATGCAGGGTTTTTTTTTATGTATTTTATTTTTTCGTAATATCTGTAGCAGTGTTGAATAAGAAAAGATGAAGTACCAAAAACCACAGTTGTATCATTGTTTTTATTTGAGTTAACCTGCAGCTTAAAGTTTGATAGTTTAAATGGTGTTTGGTACTTCAACCCCAGTTACTCTCTCTCTCACTGCACAGGCAGTATTTCTAAGGTTGGCATTCTTTCTAAGGTTGAATTATTTCAACAATCAATCAGTGATCTTCTAAACTTAATTCTTAATTTCCAGGAAGAACTGGACATAGAAGCCGACAGCATTTACACACAAGCGCCCTCAGGTTACGGTGCTGAGGCCACGGCAAGCGCCGACCTTCCCACACCGCAGATTGTTATAGAACCTCCTGTTCTGAACAGCATGGAACCTCCCGCAGAGGAAGAGAGGAAAGAAACCGGAGATCTGGCCGCCAGGATGGAAGCCATGACACTTGAGAAGACAGACGATAGCGAGCCTGACCGTGAGACGCAGGAGATAAATGGAAGTGCTGGACAAGGAGGTGAGAATTGATGGTTCTCTGATCTGTCTCTGGCCTCTTGAAATCTGTTTGTATTTACTATTGAAAAATCTTAGCATAAAGCTCGATTTCTTCAGGTAACAGTATCAACTCAAACCTGTTTCCTGTGATTTTTCTAGTTGTAAGCCATATATAATATATATATGTTTACATAACTTAGTTATATGTACTTTCCAGACACCTCACACCTTCAGCTGCAGCAAGGAGACAGGCCTGAAGCATGAAATATATGTTTGTATAATATGTATGTTTATATAATATAGTTCTATATCTGCACTCTCCAGACACCTCACACCTTCAGCTGCAGCGAGGAGACAGGCCTGAAGCACTGCTCTCGTCTTCCAGTAGCAGCAGCAGCGGCAGCAGTCCACACCACTTCAGTGCTGAGGTAACATGGGGTGCCAACCTGGCCGCCTCCGCTAATGCCGCTGTAAGCACTTGTTTACTAACACTAGTTATTCTGTTGACTTTTCATTCTGGGAGATCCCTCCATCATGTATTTTGTTGAGGTATTCTTGACTGAGAGATTGATTGAAATTGGCAAAAGAAGTGCTGAAATGTTTTTGGATTACTACGTGCCCTTTTGCCAATATGTTCTCGCCCTTCAAATTTTCACATTTTAAATGGAGTTCAGGGTTTTTTTTTTACCAATGGGAGAGTATTTGTTGTTTCTAACTGCACTCAAGTTTTCATTAACCTTTCTTTGATTGTTATTTTTCTTGTTTGAAATAATTTCAGTTATTTTCTGAGCTGTTTTCCTGTTTTGTCATCTGGTTGTTTTTGTAAATAAAAATTAGCTCATTGAAAGAATATTATATATTTCATCTGATATAAGAATACTATATATCAGTATCATTTGTTGCCCATGCTTTAATGAAAATGTGGCATAGTTGAATCATTTTAAAAACAAAAGCACCAATCTGAAACATGTTACTGTGAGTGCAGACTTTCTTGAATAATCTATCGATTAATTTCTTAGACTCTTAAAAGAAATCTGAATTGAGTGCCATTAAAAAATTGATCCAGATCCCTGTAAAACCTCCTGCGATGAGAAGTGGCATGCGACGCCAAGGTTGCGACCATCTTCCTCCCGTCTCCCCAGAGATCATGCGCGTCGTCAGTGAGCGTCACCAGAAGGGCCTGATGATGCCATGGATATACCAGTGCCTGGCCCAGGTGAGACTTAATTCCACCTTTAATGGTTATTATTATACTGGATAAGCCATAAAATAAATCTTTGGATAAACATGCTGTAAAGTGTTGATCATAATGGCAGTATGGATTTGAACGTCTTAGGCAAATGTGAAATGATGATTAGTAGGGTTTTGCTCCCTGGGAATAATAAGATTTTAAGCATAAGTCATTACCTTCAGATGGTCATGTTACGTGGACTGTTGTGTACTGTAGAGTAACATATTCTTCGTGTGATCAGAGATGCCAGGTATAATATTTAGCCTTTCAAGTTAAGTGAATCATCTTTCCCATTTTTCTTTGCTCCAGGGTGAAATCAAAATTTCTGTGTCACTGGAGGATGAAAACGGGCGCGAGTTCCTGCCTGTGGTCCAACTCTATCGTCCAATCAGGCAATATGTGTACGCCATCTTGTTTAACTTGAGTAAACTCCGAAGGGATAAAAAATCACAATCAGGTAGATATTAAAAGCTTCCAAAGTTTTTAAGGAATGAGAGTGTTATGTTATAAGTATTGTGGACCAAACCAAATGCTTATTATAACTAAGAAATAGTTACAACTGTTACACTAGTCGCCCCTTGAATGCGACATACATGAGTGTAATTACATCGGGGCGCAGATATAACTTGCTCCTGTATGTGACATACATTGAAAGAACAGTAGTTGTAACTGACTTGTCTCACGTCTGGAGCTTCAAACAATAGGATGAATGTGCATAAGCATATAAAAATACAGGCGTGAGAGTAAGTGAAATACAAGTGTAATTATCATATTGTTTGGATTGCTGGTTGTGGGATGAATGATGTTAGCATGTAGACATGGTCCAGCTTTGTGTCACAATTCTACAGATATATATGTAGTTCTGCCACTTGTATGTTTCAGCTTCGCCTCTATGAAATTACACTGTATGTTGCATTCAGTGAAGTGCTGTAATATGTATATTTAATGTGTTTAATGTTCTTGATTTCAAGTATGACCACCGTGACTGTTTGTTTCTGTCTCACCCCCCAGGTTCTCCTGTACCAGAAGCAGTGATCAAAGAGAGGAGTTATACCAAGGAGGGGCCCCAGTGCGAAGACGTACAGGCCATCACCATGGATTGGATGGTGCCGACCATCCATCGTCTGTGGCTAGGGCAGCAGATAGAGGATAAAAATCGTCGACTCCGTGCTTTTCTCACGTGCATGCGCAGTGACTCCCCGGTGATGCTCAATACTTCCTACGTTCCTCAGCACTTGTTGATTATGTGCTGCATACTCAGGTTTGTAATGTGAAAGCCTGTCATTCTCATGATAATAATTTCTAACTACCAGATTTCCTGTCAGTATAAAGTAACATCATTTAGTTTTTGGGCAGTGGTTGAGAAGTGCCAAATGAGGCTGGGGGGGGATTCTTGGGTGCTGTACTCTTATTTTGGGAAAGAGAAGCCTTCAGAAGGTTGACACTTTTTCATGCACAAGCATACACACATGCACATCAGAGCCTTTGATATTGTTTATTGACATCCATCTTTATGATTTCCATTAAGAAGGCAGCATGTTCAATGAAATGCATCGAAATAATCTGTAAAAAATTTTTTTTTTCTGGATGGATTTCACTGAGACCTGATTATCCTGTTAATTCCTCCTAGATACCTGATGTCACAGGAGAAACATCGAGTCCTACGCAGACAAGAGCTTGATGCGTTCTTGGCCCAGGCCGTCTCTCCTTTACTGCAAGACATCCAAACAATGCAAGACATGAAGGTGGGTATTAGAACTCTGAACAAGGTATTGAGAACTATATATATACTGGAACTTAGCTACTGACCTAATGTAAGTTCCAGTATTGTTACTGAACTGGTATTAATGCCTAATAAATATTACTGGTAGTAATGTTTATTCTAAGACTTGTAAATTGTCACTAAAAGCTGAAATTTTTCATCATTTTGCTTCATCATTATAGTTTTTGTACTATCAGGTTTGATATGATAATTATAAAAGTGATGTTCAAATGATTTAATTTTCAAATATTTAAAAAAAAAATACAGTATACAGCTGCAAACCTGTGGGTGAAGTTTTATAATTAAAAGGTAAATCATTGGATTATAAACACTACTAAAACATTACACATTAAGGTATAAAACAATGCTATTATGTAAGGAACCCTCATACAGGTCTACTAATTAAAACACATTTATTCCAATCTTTTCTTCAGCTTCCAATGTTAACCACGCGAGGCGTACAACTAGGTGCTCTTTTCATGAGGGGTGTAGAATGTGCCATTTTTGCCAACGACGCCTGCGGTGCCCCCGTACCCTGGACCATGACCTGCCCCTGGCTGTACTTCGATGGCAAACTGTTCCACTATAAGCTGCTCAAGGCCAACAATAACACTCCACTCGTTGATATTTGTGATGGCTCTGTGAGTATGGAGGCTGTCGTATCAGTAGTACATCATTGTTTTGATCCAGTTTATGTACTGAATGTTATTACCTGGACATTGCCCTCATTTAATCAAGTTGCTCATACTTTACTGAAAATTTTTAATATTTGTTGAAATGTTTTATTATCATTTATTAAACACAGCATTTTTTATCTCCCAAGGTGGAACAAATCCACATGAAATTTTACTGTTCATATTTATATTCTCATAGATAACTGACTCACGAGACCAGAATAAAGTTCTAGAAATAACAACTTAAAAACATAAGTATGGTTCATGAAGTAGTTTGGTTTTAGACAATTTCATGTCATTCTTATTTTTCCCAGGTGGAACAGGTGATGAGGGTGGAAAGGATGCGACAGGCAATCCTCCATGGGTTAACAGTGGACTTTGCCAAGCCAGCTCTACCTCTGCCCCCAGTCTCTCTGGAGCCGTCATATTTACCATATCGTCCCGCGGGGATGCCCGTACCTCCTCCCATGGGGCACAACATGCGACCACAGCCGACTCCACCGCACCAAGGTATGATGGGAATGCACCCTACGCCTGACGGACGTGGGAGGGGCCTGCTGGGTGAGTGATGCATGCTGGGACCGTTTGGCATACATCATTCTGCCATTTTTTTTCGTCATTGGCTAAAATTTGGTTAATTTTGACAATAAAATGTTTAAAGAAAATGTTAGTATAGTATATATTCACAACTTGATTGAAAATTTCTTTGAGAGAGTCTTGGAACTTTTGATACCATTGGAAATTAAGACTCCAAATTTAAAATATTTCATGTTTTCTTGGTATACTGCAGATCTATTTTTCAAAATTGAAATGATTTATTTAGTAGTATTTTATTTTTAAATTTTTTGCATCAGTAAATGAAAAGTACTTCATTTATGTGTGTTCTATCTTTATCTTCTAACCCCTCCAGGCCCCAGTCCTATAGACCCCAGGGGTGGCCAGCTGTCTATAGCGGGGGTGGTGGTTGGGCAGTGGGGGCCACAGCCCCGGGGGAGGGGCACACATATCAACCAACTGGGACCAGTGCCTCCCAGAAGGTAAGGGGATCAAGTAATGAGGTATCTACATGGTACAGTTTGTAAAAGATTGATGGTTGATATTATAATAATAATAATAATAATAATAATAATAATAATAATACTCATAATTATAAAACTTGTGCATCCTTGAAGAGCTTTCAGGCAAAACAACTGACAGGCAATAAAGAATGGAATAAGTCATTTTAAATGAGTTATCTGGTTTTACTAGTTGGCTCCCCCACAAGGGTTCAGCACTATCCAACTTAAATATAGTGTTTGTGAATTTTTAAAAAATGTTTTTGTTGAACTGTTATATGTGTCAACAGTGATTACTCCTGGGGAGGATACAGTAAACACCTCTTCAAATTCCAAAGTCAAAATTTTGTCTTTCTCTCTTCAAAACAGGTATGGACCCGGCGGTGGGATGCCAGGCATGCACAGCGGAATGCGTGGGCGAGGCACGCACTTTGCGCAAGGGCCAGGGAGAATGCAGGTGGGACAGCAGGGTTTTTTTCAAACAAAACCTGATAGAGTTAATCACCTTTTTCTTGCCTTAGTTGATTGTATAGATTAATGTGTTGATCTAATAACAGATATTAAGAGAATCTGATCCGTTTTGCTTTAACCATGTAATGTAATTCAACTACATAGAAGCAGTAGTGGACAGATTTTATCAATTTTTGTTTAAAACAATTCTTTAAACGTGAAACAAGCAGTTCACAGTTGCTGTCGGTGTTTTCTCCTCATTTATTTATTTATTTATTTATTTATTTATTTATTTATTTATTTGTAAGCAAATAATTATACTGCAACAATTACATCAAATAGCAGAGGATGATATCTTTTCCCATTCTTGCAGCATGGAAGAGGTGTCAGTACAGCAAAGCCCAAAAGAGGGCGCTCAGGCATGGCTGTTCCATTGTCGCAGCAGACAAAGATGGAGGGAGGTGGGCGAGGCAGAGGTTGCACGGTGGAGGTGCCATCAGAGTAAGCAGGGTTTTCTTTTATCCAATTTAAAGAATGTCTGTGCATTACTGTAAATTTAACAGTAGCTGTTATTATTATAAATAAATAATCTGGCAACCCAGGAAGAGTTGGATAATACATAGACATAGCTCAGTGAGAAAATGTGCTCATAGCGTTAGAAAATTCTGGAATTAACTTTCTGTATTTTAGCAGTAAAGATTGATAATAAAGAGACATATAATTATTCAAAACATCAGGGAACTACAAGTTTTGAATTTCTATCATTCAGCTCGCTTGGTGCCATGCCTGTCAGTGAATTCATGAAGGTGGATTTCCACAAGGAGGCAGCACAAAATGAGGCAGACGTAGAAAAAGTTGCTGCAGCAGATGCTGAAGAGGGCATTGTCGAGGGACAGTTCCAAAATGCAGCAGACGACAGCATAGAACAGGACGAGGACAGTGCAATACAGGTCAAAGGTCAGGGCATGTTGAGTCCAGACAGCGGGATACAGGAGTCCAGTGACCTTCAGACTGATCTCGGTGCCCTCTAGTGGTAGTATTTTCAGTAATGCCACATTGGGATGGGGAGTTAGATATGTGACATTAACGCCATCTTGAGGACAATTTTGCAATTTTACATGAATGCCACCTGCAGCATTTGAAAATTTATATGTAGGCCATCTGAAGGTACTTGTAGATACTGGCGGTAGTGAGTTTCCCCCACCAAGCAAAACATCCAGGTTGGATTTTGAAATTAAATGTGGGAAGTTGATCTGATGGACACAAATTGTTTGTTGGATATGATGAAGGGGATGCGACTTTCTTCTTTCTCAAACTGAAGGGCAGTTAAAGAATGTTTACACTTTTTTCTGTCAGTCATTGACTGAATTCAATATTGCTTGAGAATTAATTGACATATTCACACTGAATTTTAAGTTTTGAATTGCAGTTATTTGGCAAGAATGAAAATTAACTTTTTCAAGTTGGAAAAAGCATCAGACTTGACAAAATGAATGGAGTAATAAAGTAGACTAAAATTCACGTGTCCTTCGAATAATTTCACGTCCAGTGTTAAGGGGAAAAAAACAGCAGCTTGCATTAAAACCGACTTGATCAAAATCTGTTTATTAAGTCTGGATATGGTTACCCCAAAAAGTTGGGTGGAAATTACCTAGTTATTTCATAATTTTTGCTACTTTATTATTTTTTCTAATATATGATGATGTAATTTTCAGTGTTAAAGTTGATGTTTGTACTCTTCATGACTTTGTGTAGAAGCTTAATATGTTTTATTACATAGTAGCATTAAACTCTTGTTACTGACCAGAATTATTTCGGTTCTCTTGGTCAAATTTGAAGTTGATATAGCTGACAACTTTAAACAATGGAATTAATTCATTTGTTAATGTCAGACAATTTCATATTTATAATGTCTACGTGCATGTTTAAACAAACCTATAAATCAAATTTGTATTTCCTATTGGTATTGCTTGTTATCCTAAAACTAAGGTGAGCTTCATTTGATATACGTACACAGTTTAAAACACATCCGTCAGTGCATGTGAGGGAATATTGCTAAAGAGAAATGATGAGTAAGAGTTGGCACTTGTTTGTGTTGAACAATAAACTTTTTTTGTATAATGGGCCTTCACATTTTATTTACTGAACGTTTCTTGTCTTGAACACTGCCCAGATAATTTCATTCCCAAATTCCTCAGGTTCACTCAGCTTGGGACTCCTTGTTATCATTCCACTCTTCCTGAATGGATCTTTTTGGATGGTAAAATATTAAGTTCCTCTGGATTCTTTTCTTTCATTGTAGACTGTAAAGTGATTAACAGAAAAATATAGCCTCATCTTGGGTCTTCCCTTTTCTCTTTCAAAATTCCAAAATGTCTCCCCAGTTTTAAATGAAATGAATAACATTGACCTTGTAAGTCTATCAATTAACCCACTCAACATCTTCTCAACAATTAAAAAATGTTTCCAAGCTGGCAGAAAAGTGCCTTGAGAGTATATTTTTGAAATTTATTTATTAGAGTACATAACCTTACATCTGCAAAAGGTGATCACAGAACTATGACAAAAATTCCTGAAAGCATATGCAAGGTGTAAGACCACTAACTTCCTTCTGTAAATTTGATTAATTCTTGAAATGTTAAAAAAGATATACTTCTGCAAATTTGATTAATTCTTGAAATGTTAAAAAAGATATACAATGGGAAATAAATTTTATGTAATCAAATCAAATGTACCAAATTTCCTGACTAGGAACACTTGGAATTTTTTCCTTCACAATGCACTCAATAAATCCAATATTCAAACTTTGAACTAGTCTCCCTTCCCACCATCCTTGTCTCCATACCCCAAGGACTTCCAATCCTCTTTTGCCATTAAATCTTTGTCCATGCGACACTGCAGATAATCTTTGGCTACGTCCCTGCACGCAGAATTATCCTGCTTATTGTTCTTTAGGCAGCGCAAATATTCCTTCATTTTCTTTTTACATTCACCTTCGTGATCCAAAGGAAAACTTCCTTTCATGGGAGGTGTTCGATCAATGAGCGGATTGCGACTTAAGGCCATGTCTGTTACTGTCTGCGTCGTTTAACAAGTGTTTTTCCTTAGTGAGTGTAAAAAAATCCCTGTAATAAATAACAATGTGGTTTATCTTAACAAAAAGGAAAATTTTATGTCTTTTTAACAAATGCCTCTATTATTAAAAGCTTCGTTCATACAGGAGTGTCTTCACTGGTGCCTTTGTTGCTACAATGTCCCTCTCACTAATGAAACAAAACCTTGCCGACAGTTATAATAATTCAGTGTCTACCCTGCAGTTTTTATGGCCGTAAATATGACACAAAATGAAAAAGTCTGTCACTGCTTTATGTGCTGCTTCCTTCTTTCCTTCTGCTACAGAGACACTATGTCCTTGCTGGCAATCCTATTAACCACTGCCTCCAACACCGTTCCAATACTGAGTTCAATATCTGGTATTTTGTATACCTGGAAAAAAGGTTGAATAAAATGAATTCCTATAAAATCACACAGATCTGTAATTCAATCAAGGTCTCTCTCTTAGACAGACCACTCTACAAGATTATTTTAAATCCACCTAGAGGCTATCTAGCGCTATTTATATACAGACACATGAAGGTAATAAGAAATAAGCATAAGTAATCTGTTTGTCAAATAAGTAAACATTCCCTAAAACTGAAACTTTCATCTACATCATTAAGGACTTTCTGAATTGGTTTCCCCTATTACTTCATTACGGGCAACCCTGCACTCATTGGAAATAGCATGCTACTGACCTTTTTAACAGTGTCCAGATCTGTGAACTCTGGTAAGGACTCCAACGCCACCTGTTGTCCTTGAATCACACTAAGGAAGTCTTGAGGCTTGGTGCTCTCTTCAGCCAGTGAGACAATAAGCACTGAAGTCTCCTGATCTGTGACACCAAACTTCTTGTAGGAGTCCGAGATCTGTGAAAGATAAGCGCAGCACTTTTTTTAATTTAAAGCATATAATCTTGACAATTTTTTTTCACTTTCTTGGTACTCAGTATCGTCCACGTTCAGCTGCAGAACTAACTAATTGGAGCTTATACCATACAATATCTCATAGCTCTTGACCTGAATTATATCATTAGATGCATTAACCATCATATACACTGATCAGACTTACATTCTTTGAGGGAGCCAAGCTGTACAAGATTTCTGAATGCAGAGTTCTGGTATACTTCTTGTTGTTACTGTGAAGGTGAACTGCCTTGTTGACTGCTACCAGCACTTGAAAAGGGTCCACAACCTAAAAGCAAAGGGAGTGAAATGTGGAAAAAAAGTTAAAATCTGTGAAAATGTTAAGAAATTTGGAAATAGGGCAATGGAATGTGGAAATAATTGAGGTAAAGATATGTGGAAATGTAAGCTCTGTTTAAATCAGTAATACCCATTTCTAACAATAAGTCTATTGACTTCTCAATGTTATCTTAATAATATAACTACCATTTTTTAAAATATTCCTGATTCGTACAAATAGTAGTGAAGTATCCATAAAGCATAACATACTAAAACATAGTATACAATCATATATATACAGTAATATATAATGTTAAATAGAATAAACGAGTATTGCATTCTCTTTCTTGAACATTTCATTGCAATTAGGGAAAATTCACAATATAAGACATACATTAAAGTGTGATTTTCAAAAACAGTGATCCTTAGTGTGTCTTGTAGATGAGAGTAGTTACTAAAGAAACAAAACAAAATATTTAGATTTATCATGCTAAATATAATGTTTACTGGTAACATGCTAAAATTGATTTATTTCGAATTTGCATAACAGGAAACGTTTGTAATTCTGCCATTCATTTAATTGTACTGTATCAACCCTCAAGTTTCAAGGTGACAAATGGTCGTGAAAAAGAAACGTGACTGGCGATTTATGAAACAATTAATTTCCCCAAATACTTACAACACTGGGTTTAATAAGCGCTGCCTCAAACTTTCCTTCAATGACCAGTTTTCTCACTTCTGAAAGGTTTCTTACGTCTTTGTAGAGAACTATCGAAAGCGTCAAGTTAGAGCCTAAAAAGTTTTCATAACTCTTCAAACCCATCACAGCTTGAGTAGCTTGAGTGGTATACAGTACTTATAATAAGTTTCGAAGCACTCGATTTATTTTTCAATTAAAAATATATGAATGTATTTGGATATGCTACTGAACAGCTTAAATCATATTTATTTTCTATCGGTGCCACTGCATTTTAATGAAGCAGTCGCTTTGCAAGAGTGAAAACGTGTGATTTTAAAGTTGCGAAACTAAAGTCTTTATACGCATAACCAAGATGGCAGCCCCCGGTGGAAGGCACACGTTGGCAGCCCTCGAAGTGTGCGGGGTTTTACTCTGCTTGGCTGCCACTCTGCTGTTCAAGTTTGACGAGAAACAACCGATACCGTACATGGACGAACAATTCCACATTGGACAGGTCATCAAATATTGCGAAGGGAATTTTTATGAGGTGATTATGTGCATATCTGTAACTAGTGTAAGACCGCATTCACATCGAGTTGAGCCAGGCTTTACAAATCCTGGGACAAAATATGGCGGACGTACATGAAAGAAAAACCGTCTAATCTTTTAATAGTCTCACCGCCTCTCACACGCCCCTCCACGCGTCGTCCCTGCGGGGGTACAGTCATTAAATCTCAGCTCCATTGGGACGACACATGGGGAGGCGTGTTTCGAACACATGTCAGTATGAGGCCTTATCTGTGTACAGGGCTCAACACAAACGGTTGTCCGCTTGCCCGGGGCAACTAAAATCTGCCGTCGGACAAGTAAATTTTACGTCCAGTTGCCCGGCGGGCAAGTGAATTTTTTTGCTTTTGGCAGTACAATGTTAGATCTGATGTTAAAAGATTGAAGCATTACACGTTTTTCCTTTTTTGCACAATAACGTCACAAACTGTAACATACGTCAATCCAAGATTTCTGTATTCTAATGCATGCACAGCTTTCTAAAAATAACTGGCAGTCACTATCTCCATCGGCAGTGCCTCGTTTTCAGAGTGCTGTCATATTCTATAATTTGAAGCATTTAGTCAAACTAAAACGAGGCAAGTTGTTCTTGGAAACATTTAGCCACGTGATTTAAGTTAAGAAGGCACTCTCTTTTACGTTTATCTGGCACTTTTTGTATTGGTTGGGAAATATTTAGAAGCATATAATTTCCTAGCTTTAGCCACGAAAGAAGTGGAAAATAAGCAGTCACACTGTTGCTAAGTGAGAGTTTGCAGGGACCAGCTTGCGGTGGTTTTGACCAGTTAGCAGACAGCTGAACTGCTTCTGTAACTGATAGAGATTTCCCGGACTTGAAATGCTTATAGTTTATATATTTAGCAACAATTTCAGGGAGAAACAGGAGGAAGAGTAAGCTTCCTTAAAGTATGGACATTTTAATTGATGAAGTTGGATAAATATGTTAATTTTTTGCACCCACCTAATAAAAGCAGTGTACTACACAAATACTTGTTTGAGGGAACGAGTGAGCACTTGTCAGTATCCAGACAGTGTGGCACCGATCATGGTCTGTCACAAGCATTTCAGAGCTTTGTTGACCTAGTTTTTTTTTGACACTTTAATGAATGTGGAAGTCTGTCTAAGAGTATGTTTGGGATCTCCTCTACATTTTAAATCATTGGCTTTACTATTTATTCAATGAAAAAGGTATCTGAGCTATGTTGATACCACAGCTTTATTAGTTAAAATGCCACCAATCCAATATTTGGCTTCAAAAATTTCAATTGTAATCAGCCATGGAGGAGGAGGAGAAGGGGAATCCTCATTCTAGCATTTGTAGGTGCTAAGTATGCAATTCTTTATTAATGAATTTTTTATCATGCTTAGCTTAACTTCATATACTCCTCAAGACATATGAAACAAGACAATTATGTCACTGTGCCACATAAAATGTTGAAAAATCTGTTCAAAATAGCCTAAAATGCACCAAATTGCACCTTGATTGAGTGCAGAAAAGTGCTATGAAGTAACCAGTGGCATTTTAGATTTTACTATCAAATTATCATTTGTGTAATTTGGTGTTGTCAAGGCAATCCTACTATATTTTAAAGTGAATTATATTAAGATTAATTTTTGAAGTTTGAAAGTATTGTTTCTCTTCTATTGATTTTGTCAACTGTTCTGCAGAAATAAATAAATGTTTTTTTTTATAAAAAGAGAAAAAAAAAAAGAAGTTGGAGATAGTGACTGACCAATCTGTACTTGATGAGTAAATGTAAAAGAGTTGGTTCTTGTAAGAGCATATTTTATAAGTAACAATGTTATGTCTATCAGTCACCATCCTGAGGAGGGTGGGCATTGCAACATTTATGCACTTGTATTCTTATAGATATCCTAATCTTATGCTGCATCATAGTGGAGGTGTACCTTTTTTCTTTCATTTAGAATGTGTGACAAATTTGAAATTTTAGTGATGTGCATGACAAAATGTGACATTCCATCAATTAACTTGTTCATGGAGAAAATAAACAACCCAAAGATAACAAAATTGACACAATTGATTTTTTTTATAAATCAATAAAATTTTATGCTTCAAATGAAAAAAAATTGCATATCGAGTGGTTTAAAATTTTTCACTAATAATGGGCAAGTTGAGGCAGAGGAAGGGCAAGTAAAAATATCTGGCAGGTTGCCCTGGGGCAACCTGGTTAAAAAATTTATGTTGAGGCCTGTGTGTAGCATGTAATTCCACAAACAGACGCAATGGCTTTTGTACTTAGGGTCCCATTGGGTATTATCCTTAACTGAGAAACCCATTTTTTATTTCCCGAGATGCTTGAAGCACTCATATTACTTATCACTCATATTACTATATTACGTGAAGCAGACTTCTGATTGCGAGATGTACATTAGAGATTGTTCCCCGCCTGGAAGCAAACTCTCAAATTTTTGGAATAATCACTTTCGCTGTGCAACTCCCACTGTACACGATTCTATACAGTAGGTTGCTTCTTGGGGGGAAGAAATTTTGCATCAGTATTTGACCTTCCTTGTGCGTTTAGAATTTTTATTCAACTGGTTTTCTCTAGCTGCTGTTTCATTTCATGGTGGTCTATATTACAACTGGTAGACAAGCATACAAATATTACATGTTGTACTTTCAGCATTCGCCATAAGCATTGTTTGTGTTAAGTATTATAATTGGAGCTATCTTGATTGCGGTGGAGGGGACACAGGATTGTGTCGTCCTTCTGGTGGGAGCTTTTGTAAGGATAGTGAGGACTTCATGTTGGTGGTGGAGGTGCATGTACAGGTGTCGTGTGTGGTAATGAATAAAAAAAAGTTGTTGGGCACCTTCATGTGGTGTTTTCTGAGTGGAAGCTATCACGGATGTCCTGTGTAAGTGACAGTTTGTTTCTTTTACAGTGGGATCCCAAAATCACCACCTTCCCTGGTCTCTACCTGATCAGCCTGGGTGTGCTGAAGCCAGTGGGATGGCTGATGGGATGGGATGAAGACACGACGTGCAGCGTACTCAACCTCAGGGCCATCAACATCATGTTCAGCATTGGGAATTTCTACCTCTTTCTCGCTCTCATACGGAAAATACACGGTAAAGACAAGGTAAGTGCACACTAGGTGTTTTTTTGCACTGAAATTTATGTTAGTCTGGTTTTTCTTTCCTTCAGTTATTGGGCTATATTATGTAACAATCTAAATTTCAGCCACATTTGTGGAAATGGAAATGAGATCATCAAATATGTATGTTTGATGAAGCAATAACTATAATTTTTCAAGACCACTGGACAGTATATATGAATTTTACTTGACCATTAAGATATGACAAAGTTACCAGCACATCTTTTAATCAGACAGTTTGATTTATTACCTTTTCTGACTTTTTATCCTTTCAGAATTACCAAGACACGGTTGCTGTGGTGACAGCGGTTGTGCTGAGCCTGTTTCCAGTCATGTATTTCTTCACCTTCCTCTACTACACAGACCCAGGATCAACCTTCTTCACATTACTCATGTACCTGCTCAGTCTCCATGACAACCATAAGGTGGCGGCCATGATGGGTTTGGTTGCCATTTTGTTTCGCCAGACTAATGTCATATGGGTGGCTTTTGTTGCTGGAGTCAAATTTGGAGACCTTGTGGTCCGATATGTGGGCCCAGAGAAGAGGGATATACCGAAAGAAGCCATAGGAAGCATGGATTTTCTCATTTATTCAGTGTACCTGTTGTTCGTTGGATTGAAAGACAGGACTAAAGAATTTCAGCAGCTGCTTTCAAGTTTCTTGTCATCTACCTGGAGCTACATTCTGCTTTTTGTTGGATTTGCTGCTTTTATAGTGTTCAATGGGGGAATTGTAGTTGGTGACCGTTCGGCTCATGTAGCAGTTTTAAATTTTCCTCAGTTGTTCTATTTTTCATGCGTGACATTTATATTTGCCTTTCCACACATGCTAACACTTTTCAAGGCTTTTCACTTTGTGGATTTTCTTTTCAGAAGACCAGTGCTATTTTTTATGTGTTATCTCATCAGCTGTGTACTTGCCATGTACTTCACATACGAGCATCCCTATTTGCTGGCAGACAATCGTCATTATACATTTTACATATGGCGTAGGATTTATTTGCTTCATCCATACATGAGGTACATCCTAATCCCTGCGTATATTTACTGTTATTGGGCCATACATGAAAATCTCCAAAACAGACATGTATGGTGGAAATTAACCTACGCTGTGGCTTTGTTCCTCTCCACCGTTCCTCAGCAGCTGATGGAGTTTAGATATTTCATTATCCCATATTTGTTATTCAGGCTTCATTCCCCTCTCTCAAACTTAAGCAAGTTGATGATGGAGTTGGTGATTGCGATAGCTGTGAATGCTGTCACAATCCATCTTTTCTTGAACAGGCCATTTACTTGGCCAAACTCCAATGATGTTCAGAGGTTCATGTGGTAGGGGAGATGAATTATCTGTCTGGTAATAAAATGTAGCTGGCCCCAGTTTCACAAAAAAAAATTAAATTAAAAAAAAATAAATAAATAAAAAGTAAAGGAGTCAATTCCCAGGATTTCCATGAGAGAGCTGTAACGCTGTTTCTGATGGGATAAGACACGCACACGTGCCCATGTAACGTTGGTAATTAAGTTCTTTGCCAGGGACCCAGAATTATTATTATTATTATTTTTATTATTATTTATTTATTTTTTTATTTTATTTTATTTTTTTTATTATTATTTTTTTTTTTTTGGGAAACCGGGGCCAGATGTGAAACCAAAACCAACCCCCCTAAAAATAAAAGTGTAATGCAATAAAGTATCTGATAGTTTCAAAATATTTTCTAAAGCAAATATTTTCAGTAAGTCTTCCAGCAGTCAAAGATATTCTAATGTCTCTGTAAGTTGAACTGTTCATTGCATATAATATTTGGTGCATTTAAGGATATTGTTATCCTTAATTATCATCCAGATACCGAAAATGAGGTTTTTCTTGCATCTAATTATGAAATAATGCATCTATATTTGTGCTGATTTAACACAATAAAACAATAAAAAATCCTCGAAAACTTAAAATATCGGTGTTTATCATTCTCGTTGCAATGTATAAACGTAGGCAACTCGAAGCTTTAATAGTCTGTATAACACCTTTCTATTTTGAGGTGAGATAGCAATCGTTTTTAGTCGTAAAAAGATTTCATCACGAAAATTGGCCCCGAGTGTATAGAATAAATAAATAAAAATAAAATAAACGAGTCAATTCCCAGGATTTCCATGAGAGAGCTGTAACACTGTTTCTAATGGGCACGGGATTGTAACTAAATTTAGGCTACAATCCCGTGCCGTCATTTTGGTTTAAAAGTTTTTGATATGGAGTTGTGAGCCCCCAATTTCAGATTTTCATTTAAGTAAAAGCATTAGATGGTTTTATGAACGATAACATCTGAACAAAGACTATTAAGAAAAATCGATGGCAGGGTTTTGGAGTACTAAATGATGTCATTAAATTTTTCGTTGAAAAGGTGATCGTGGGTGCTCGGATAAAAGAGAAATTTGAGAAACCGATTTTCAGTTTTTTTCCCCTAAATCGCAATTATGACGTCACCCGTAAGATGGCATATGTGTAAACGTTAATTAATTTAGTCGTTGAATACTGAAGATTTATAAGGTAGTAAATAAGGAGTTTTTGGTGAAGGGTGACAATATCCTTAACTATATATACGAATTAATATAGTGTTAATAACAACGATCTGGAGCTTTCAACTTTTATTCACCGTCTGCCTTTTTCATACAATTTCACAAGTATTTATAGGCCTACTCTATTTCTCCGTACTGATCATGCGTTTACTTGTTTTCTCTCCATTGTTGCAAACCACCATTCAACATTTCCTTATTAAGTAATTTCTAAGAGACTTGTTTTCAATTAAAATATTATTTGAATTACTCATGCTTGGACCAAATCCATCCTTACTTCATAAGTGTTTTACGCGTGTCAGAAACTTGCAAATCTATTGAGAAATTAACCAATCAAATAGAACTATATGTGACTTTGACATGTTCCATATTTTCCTACCACGAAAACATTTTCTACACTCGTTAACTCTTAAAGAAATGACTTACACTCAATAACTCCCTATCCTTTTACTCGTTTGATTCCGTTTTGATTATTATCTGCAAATAGGGAAAGCGTAAGTTAATAACTTTACAACATAATATACAATGATTTTTCATTCCAATACCAATAAATGACAAAGAATTTCATCTGCGTTTTGACCATATTCACTGCACGGAAGAAATTATTGAATGACCTTACATGTCTCTTGAGCGTCGATCTTCGTTCAACGGAACAGGCGACCGACCGCAAGTGTCTTGATGCCATAACTGGCCCACACTCGCCCTATATAATACATTGTAGCCTCTATGTAATATCGCTATTCACAATACGCGATGCTTTCGAGTTACGGGGCCCAGATGATCGAAGCAGTGACAAGTCAGGCCCGTAGCCAGCAATTTCAAAGGGAGGGGGGGTCTTTTTCTGAAAAAGTGGACCTTTTACCGAAAAATCCCCATTTACTTATGTCAAATTTTACCCAGAGTGGACCTTTTTTCAGCAAAAAGGGGGGTTCTTTCGAACCCCCCGAACTCCCCCTGGCTACGGGCCTGCAAGTGATGACATCGATATATTTATTTTAAAAAAACATTATAGAAATGTGCACTGAATGGCCATATAAATATCTGTGGATATCTAGCAAACAAATTCTGTGGTTTCGGTAAAGTATAGTGAAAAGCTCTGTCATCATCCCCCATGGGGTTTTGGCACGTTAAATTTACCTTTAAGTTTCGAGTAACATTCAGTTGCAAAGTATTCCGGTCAAGTGGGTGTTTTTTTAATAACCAACCACTTTCATGCTGTTTGCCTTCTTCATTTACTTGTCAACGAGTCAAATTGAAATATTTCACAAAAAGAATTTCAGGATAATGACAAAATGCCTTCACGTACACAACTGTCAGTACACTTTCTTCAAATATGAAATTACAGCGTTTAATGGAAATTCTATAGGTCATGATCTGAAACATGTAGGACGTTTCTTTAAATGATTGAGTATTTCAGACGAAAGGGAAAGTGGGACCACCCAAAAATTGATAATAAAGTAGTATTTTGCCTTCGTAATCCAGTGGGCGTCGTCCAAAAACCACACACAGGAAGCCAGATTCAGATTGCTTATTATTGATATTCACCTACATGAAAAACGTGGACATAAACAATTTACTGCATAGTTGTAGAAATAAAAAAAAATGGCAAAATAACGTAAATAAATTAAGTAGGCTCGAACAACCTCAAATATAGGCCTATAAAGTATTTAATAAAATATTGTGGTTAAATGGTGTTTGATAAAACACCTGTATTTATTTTTCAACACCTGCACCAAAAAGTCATTTAACGATATGACACGCAAAGGGGGAAATGGGGGAAAAGGGGACTCATTGCCCGATCTAACCTTAGAATTGAAAGATGAGCTACATGTCATGTGCCACTGCGTAAGATGAACAGCTGAAAGGTTACATTTATGTGCAATAATAGAAAAAAAAATATCACCAACTTTCGGTACATACGCAGGGGCAGATCCAGAGATATATTCTGACAGGCTTCAAAATTTTCTTTGTTGATCCCTCCTTCATTTTTGACCATCTTCCGACAGAAAAATTTAGTTACCCGTCAATGTAAACNCCTAGAGAAGAGGGATATACCGAAAGAAGCCATAG